AAGTGTAGAGATAGGAAATACCTGCACAAGTAACCACTTCCTTAAGAGACTCTGTTAACCAAAGGACTAATAAAATCTCGTTTAACCATCATTGAAAGACTTCTTGGTAGACAGCCAACCCTGGCTGGTCTCTTGAGTATAGAAAGTAGTATAGAAATGTTCCTTTTAGCATTAATTCATATCAGCTTCTGATGCCAAAATCCTGTACATCAAAGAGAAATGTTCATTTATTGGACCATTTTGAATTTTAAATAATTTCAGGTTGTAGCACATTCCCCTACTTTTAGCAGCAGCAGCTGTATGGGTTGGTGTTTCATCCACAAGTGCAGCCTGGTCCCATTGTGCTGAAATGGAGGCACTGCCTTGTTTTCATGTAGGGCCTATGGGCAGGCAGTGCCTTGTTGCCATGCTTGTGTTCAAATCCTCCACTGATCCATGTGAGGGAGGTTTCTCCCTGTAATCCACTGGCAGTCCCCAAAGGTAAATGTTCCCATCTTTTTCTTACACCGAGCACAGACTCAGCCTAAGGTTGAGTCTCTGCCTTATGGAAATACAAAGCTCCCACCTGAGCACTGATTACAAAGTTGTTCTTATGCAAATCCAAACAGCGCAGTGTGAAAATGCATAAAATGAGGCCTCATCTAAGGCAATATGTTACAAACCTGTTAGTCTGGATCTGTGAAATTAATTGTTTCAGTGAGGAGTGGAGCTTACAGTTTCCAAAGCTGTATTGCTACCTACCTGTTGCTCAGCCTGTCATCAATGTCATCTACCTTAATTTTAATTTCCTTCCCCTTGTTTTCCCAGTATTGTCCCATACTACACAGCAAAGTCTTTATTACTTTATCTTGCACACCATAGTCCATGTGTTTGTATCCCCTAGCTTCTCAAGCTGGATTTGTCCAAGTGAAACCTTTTACCTACAGGTAAGAGCAAGAGGTTTTTAGCATTTGGCACAAGGCTTTTCATTTTTAGCATGATGAGTAGCTACTTGCTGCAACTGGGCATTGAGGCCTCTACAGAAACTGATAGCCTCATCCCTGACTCTAAGGGCTTACAAATTAAATGCCGTATCCAGACAACCTCCTTTCATCCAAATTGTTCTTGCTTGAAGTCACATGGAAAAGAAGTCACATGTGGGGACCAGGGCTATGCCCCATCTCTATTCAACCAGAATGACCCCTCTTGTGTGCCCAGGAGTGATGCTGCTGACTGGTGATTGCTTTCAGTTACATATCTGCTTCTAGAATAACACCACATTTAAAAAAAGAAAAGAAAAAAAGGGAGAGAAAACAGTAACTGTTTATCCTGCCTAAGCTTGTGTAACAGGTTTTCATATGATGATTTTAGTGTTTAAAGTCTTTTTTTATTGAACTGTTTCAGTATCCAGAAAAAGACATTTCTCTTACTCAGCTTCATTAGTTATAGGAAATCACTGGATTAAAGTAGAGAGCAGATTAGCAAAAATAAACTGAGTATGTCTTGGGCATATGGTGCTGTGTATGAATGGGTTTTAACTACTTATCTGTGTAAAACAAAGAGTAGAAGGAGAGATTTGTCTTTGTGTGCAATAATTATAACGTGCAGTAGCTGCACAGCTGAGCAGGCAGAAACCACAATGCCAGGGAAAGCTTTTGGTTCAGATTTGTGTGTGGTGTGTGTGCTGGTCCCTGAGCTCACATAGAGTTTTCTGCCAGCTCGTGGCTGGGCACAGGGCTGGACTTGGCTAATTAACAGGATGCCTCTCCCTCCTGTCCCTTCCTCTTTGCTCCTGGTTTGCAGTGCTGGGTCAGTGTGGGTTACAGAGACTGGGATTGAGCCCATCTGACACGGGAGCAGGCGCTGGTCCCGGGACACTGCTCCATCACATGGACCAGAGCAGCAGGGCAGCCCATCTTGCCAACTGTGGGCAACCCATGACAGCCCAGGCTTTACCTCAGCTGGAAATTGTCCTCCACAGAGCAAATACAAACAGAAGTAATAAATAAGAGGCCAGAATATCCGGGTGATCTGGGGAGTATCGGCCTTCAGGCTCTGGGCATAGACAGAGCAACACAGCCTGCTTTGAATTCAAACTCAGCAGTTCCCAGCTTTCTGCCTTTTTTTTCTCTGATAACTATTGATCCCCTCAACCTGATAAGTGTCAAATTTATGCCTTTTCTAAATAGGCCCAGCTCACAGTAGTTTGGAAACCAGTCTTGACACACAAATAAACATTGGTAACGTCCTGATGGTGCTCTACCTCTCACTTCTCAGGAACACTGTGCTTTTCCATTTGGGAAATTCGAGATTTCTCAGTGAAGCAGTGATGTTGACATCATTTCCATGTCTTAAAAATATTTTCTTATAAAGGGATATAAAGATTTGCAAAACCAATGAAATCTGGTTTATGAAGTAAATTCAAAAATACCTGGAGAATTATCTGGTCTTTAGCTAGACTCCTCAGTATGCTTGCTAGCATGGATTAATAAATAATGTTATGCCACATAGCTTAAACATGCATGTTCTTGCCTATTTTTTGGGGGGCTGCTTTCCTCTGAGGTTTCCACCACGTGTTTCACATCGACTGTGAGTAAGATTCTTGGACTTCTGCCCTGGATTAATCAAACATGAATCATTGCCCCATGCAAAAAGAAAGTTTAGCCAAAAATTGTGGTGGTCCATAGACGTTTTATCTAATTTTATTCCTTATTTTGGTGGGAAATTTTGGACATTAAAAGAATCACCTATAAGGACCTTATAATCTTGTTCTTTTAAGGATTATTAAGAAAAATTAAATCCCCAGCTGTTCAGGAGAATATTCTTTCTCTCTCCTTAATTAATTGTATAGTGGTGAAACCTGCCAAACTTGCAGGCTTTGTATTTAGCTTATCAATAACACAGTGTTGTTTCTGTTGCAGAGTTCCCTGAAGAGGAGAGGCAGCAGAGAAATCCACAAAGAAAAGAAGACATTTACCCAGGTATGGTTTCCATGAACATGCAACTTTGAGCAAAAGTCACATGATACAACTCGAGATTTATTTTTATGGGTTTTGACAGGGCCATCAGGTATATTAACTTGAGTGCAATTAGGCCCTAATCTACTGAGACTCCCAGAGATAATGTAGAAGCAATTTAGGACAAAAGTACAGTCTCTAAACTGTGCAGCTTCTCAGGCTCATTGTGCTTGTACTCATTGATTGAGGCTGCAGGTTTGCTACAAGAGGAGCAAATCACCTTGCCTCACAAGATAATTGGATCACAGCTTAGGGACTAACTAAATTTATACACTGTGCCAAAGGTTTTGTGCTAATGAGGGTCTTGGCAGGAATGCAGTTCACACACTGCAGTGACACCTCTCGAGCTCTCAAACCTCCTTTGATCTCCCTGATGTTGCAAGGAGTTGTGCTCCCCAAAGCTGAGGTACCTCAGAGAGCCCAATTGCCCACTCAGTCTCTCTTTGGACATGGATTTTAATGGAATCTCATTGGTCAGTCCTTCTCAGGAAAGCAGTCTGCCTGGTTTCCTCTGCTTTTTGTGCTGACTGTAGGAGTTAAAGCCTTTCCCAGCACAGTTACTGTTTATAGCCAGGGAGATGGGGATAGTATTTCACCTTGCTGGGAAAGGAGCCAGGAGAGACATTGTGCCTTCATTAGGGAAGGGATGCACTTCCCCTGCTGCCGCTCGGCAGGCTCAGCGTACACAGCTGAGACCTAGGGGCTGTCTAGTCCTAAAGTCCATTGATTTGTAATAGAAACCATCATAAATCACTACAATATGTTGAACTTGAGGGGGTAGGGCAGGCAGCTGAGTGGGCATACTGGGGGACTGGCCAGTGGCCCGGGCACTTCAGCCTGCTTTCCCAGGCCACAGCAGACTGGGTTCCTGGCCAAGATGACACAAGCATGGCTTAATCATACCTTAAAATGAGGCTCTTGCCATGGAGAATTATTTAAGTTGTCCGTCAGGTCAGAGTTTGTTTTTCTGCAAGTATGTAAAATACAGAGATGAGATATATGCACATGCCCACACACATGCAAATTACAGATGAAGCTACATGAAGGCACAATTGTGTCCATAGGGGTTTGTGAGCAGCACTGTCCTTCCTTTCCTCATTCCTGGAAATACAGACCTGTGCAAAGAGAATGGATTCTCGTGCTTGCTTCCTCTGCCCAAATCCAGGCATTAAGAGCAGCTACAGTTTGCTTTGGAAAGCCTTAAAAAGATTTCACAAAATTAACAAAATTAACTTCACAAAATGAAATGAGTAACCAAGTGTGAGCTCAGCACCTCTCTCAACAAAGAGAAGTGATCCCAGAAGCCACAGGGGGACAAAAACTTCTATCCACTACACACACATCATAACTCCTGCAAGCAAAGGGCTTGGGGCTGGAAATGAAAACCTTTGCATCAGCACTCTGCAAGGTGGCCATTCAGTTTTCTTCACCAGCTTGTTAGGGTAAAAAAGACCAAAAAATAACTTTATATGCTAACATAACCCAGCCTATATGTACATGTCCTGGCTTTCTCCCAACTCTAGGATATTTCCAATATCTCCAATATCTCCAAACCCAGGCATCCATTCAGAGGTATTTGCTGGTTGAGATTAAGGCACATCACAGCAAATGCCTGACCTGGTCAAGCAGCTGCCAGGTCCTGGGCATGGCCCAAAAGGGTTGGTACAGACACAGCCCAGGAGGTTCAAAATGCTGCTCTCTGGGGACAGATACCTTAAATACCTAGAATGAACACCCATTATATATTTTGTGACTGAGAGGGCCTCAAACGTAGATTCTGTGCATCCACATGTGTACAGATACATACAGCATGGGGCAAGACTGGTGTTTTTACTTACTGCAAGCTCGTCATGAAAATTAGCTGGAACTTCACACCCACCACAGGGCACACCAAGTAAATAATGCCCATGGAGTTGATTTTCTTGAAACTGTGTAAAAGCAGAATTTATAGTAGCACTCTCCCACCTCTAGCAGTATTGAAGAAAAAAAGTTTTTATTCAGCAGAATTGCAAAACGGAGCTTCTTGGAAAATACCAGGCACCAGGCAAACCACAAAGAAAAGTGGTTCTCCAGCGCAAGGTAGGAGTGCTGGCACTCAGCCAGATGCTTGGGTGCTGGTTGTACTGCCTTGTCATCAGACCTGCAACCCCAAAATTGCTTACCAGTCTTCTGCCTGGCAGTTCCCTTGCGCTGGTGGTGGTGGTAGAGGAGATGGTGTTGGCCTCTATCTAGCTTTGTGTCTTCTTGCCAGAAAAGAAATATTGTATTGGGGAATTTTTGATCAGCTCTTCATTCTCATCACATCTCTCACACATTATGCATTTACATTGCATAATTAAGTTAATTTATTTCTTATACATTTCATTTCTTTATCTCCACATTCTACATTTGTCTAAACTAGACAGCAGACTGTGGGGAAGGATCTGGGCTTTTTTCTTCTCCATTTTTTACCCGTTAACATCCTTCTGAAGTGCCATGCAGAGCTGCAGTGCAATTGCATGCAAATTATCACCATCGGTAATCATTAACTCCCATTTATCCTTAATGATCTCTCAACGTCCATGACAGAGCACCGTGAGTGTCACATCTTTGCACTGCTGTTCCTTCTTTTCTTTCTTTATGATTTGCCTTCTGTACACATGTTAGGAAAGCAAGCACATACTGGATGTTTAATACAGTTAGGAGGCCATCGCCCATATTCAGCCCCTGGGATTTGAGCCTCTTGTTCCTCCAAAGCCATGGAAAGGCTATTCTCTATCTTTTTTCTTTTTTCCACCCTCCTGTCTTTTCATTTACAATTTTACTAATAATGAGCTATTCTTAGTTTCAGTGATTTGGCCTCTCTTTAGTTTGCCTTATATGTCAAAATTCTGCTTTGCCTGTGTGGGTGTCTCACTCTCTCACTGTTTCTACTCGGTTTCAACTGATCAAGAAATCAGTGATATTTCTGTACGCAAAGTTTCAGAGGGACAGATGCATGAAGGTTGGGGTCCTACCCTTCTGGCATGCTTAGATCTGGCTGATAAATCTCTCCTGACCATTCTTTTCCTTTGGAAAAAATGCTGTCAGGGGAATGGGATGTTCCCTGGCAGGGAAGTGAGGAAGATCTAGAGCTTTCTCACCTTTCCAGATGGGATCCATATTTAGCAGGCAAGATTACCATCCATCAGCTCTGTTGTTTTGTATGAGGCTTGTGTTTGTTTAATGAAAAAAATCTTGCTTGTTTCAGCTCTTGCGAAAAAACAAAACTTGAAAATTTGATCCTTTAAAAAAAATTAAATAGCTAAGACAAAACCTGGCAATAAAGTGATGTCATTAAAGGAGTTAAAAGTGATTTTGTCCTGCAATAATAACACACTAACTCCACAGATGCACTGAGTCGTGCAGTGATGCTGAGCAAAAACATTGGGGTCCTGACCCTGAACCCATCGCAGCCTTTCCCTTTTCTTCAAAAGCTTCAAAGCTCTGAGTGTGTTGTCCCAAGTGCTGTTATTTGTACTGTCTGGAGGGCAGCGGGTGTCTGGCTGGAGGTGTCCCTGAGCCCAGGGTGGCAGCAGGCCCCTGGTGCTCCAGGCAGAGCGGAGGAATGGGGCAGGCAATGCCCCATCAGCCAGGCATCGCTCCAGCCAGGGAGGTGCAAGGCACCAGCTACTGCCACAGACAGCTGGGCTCCTGCAGCCAAAGGCAGACAAGGAGTAGGTAAAGAATGCAGGATTACAAAGACAGAATAAAGAAAATGTCAGACCAGCTATTAACAAAGAAATAAATAAATAACCAGGAGTAATCATCCCGCATGTGGGTTCTGATGTGCAGCACTAGTCTGGCTGTACCTTTCCTTGTGATCTTTGTATTTCTCTAAAAGCAAAACCTTGAGCTCTGGGGATGAACTGATTCATCATGATAGGAAAAACAGAGGTAATGTGTTGCACAGCCCTGGACGAAGCTGATGATTTAATCATACAGTCTTATCCAGCCAGAGCAACCAAAATTTAGAGTGACTGCGGTAGAGGCTGCGTAGGATTTTGCCAGGTTTTAATTTGATTCTTAATTTGCACTTTTGAGTTTTAAAGAGAAAAGCAATTTATAAATATATGTATGAAAAAGAGAAATGTGTATGCAAGGTGACAATAGAGATGATAGAAAGCCCATCTTCTAAAGGCTCTGCTTCTAATCAATCATAAGTACCTTGCCTGAATTACTTTAAAACTTATATTTATGATGCCAGAGACATGATGACCAAAATTTTAATCAACCCATGAGCTGATTGCAATTGTGTTTGGCTCTTGGTTGTCAATTAAAACCACATATTAACAGAAAGTTTGACTAATTTTTACCTCTATCATGTTTCTAACATGCAATTTAACTTTTTTTCTATTTAGCATTTTAAAGTCGCAACCTGCAGCAGGCAGCATCAATCAGGAAGCTAACTGGGTTCAGAAGTATACAACCAATCACTTTTTTGTCTGCTTGGTTATTGGCTGAAATTAAGTCATAATTATATTTGTGTAAATAGAATGTGGCAAAATTAATCTAGGTAATATAGAAGACTAGTGTGCTAGGATCCGTCCTATAGAAATTAAATAATTTCCTCAGCCATAATTAGTGTTGTAATTTTTTTTCATAGCCTGATCTGGGTGAACAATTAAAGTCAGCCATGTTTTCCTCTGAATTTGGTTTCCATTATTAGGAATTAAAACAAAATGGTGCTTGTGAAAGATAACAGTGCTCCGAAGACTGAAATGAAGTTTCCATATATAATTGCACATATGTCCACATGGCCTACCAACAACGATAAAATCTGCTGTCTCAGGAGATCATCTTTCAAAGCCTGCCTTCCATTATACTGCTAATGCTGATAAATGTGTCTCTTTTGAGGCCAAGTGCCTGTATCTCCATGACAATTCATGAAAGTGATTCATGCAAAGAAATTGTTCATTGGCTTAGAATTTACTTAACCTTGTCTCTTATTTCAGCACAATACACACTGGAGTTTTCATTTGAGATGAGATGCAGTACCCGACAGGCACAAAAAACCCCAAACAGCCATTCAATACCCTGGTACTTCCTGAAAAATGCAGGTTTTCACATGGGATGGATTTGGGTGTAAACACGATTTAATGAATTTTTCTTCCCTTTTTCACATGTTTTCACCCATCTCCCTTGTGAGCAGTTGTTCATCCCAGAAACAGAGATCACAATCTGCTCTGTCCCAATAATAACAGCAGTAGACACAACAGTGTTCTTCCTATTTGGAAAGCAAGTTAGGAACTTCGTCTGTTTCACAGCATTATGAGATCACAGTAACTAAAATCTTCACTTTTCAAAGCAACCATACAGTTTAGCACACCTTTGTTGTGCTTTCTAGCTGAAGGAGCACAAAATTTGAGATTATTGAGGAGCAAATTCATCTGAGCAGTCTTTGTTTCATGGTGCTTAAGGGGAACAAGTGTTTCATTAAAGGTAAATGGAACAAAAAGTGCCAGCAAATCATGAAACCTTTTCATTTGAGTCATTATTTTCCACAAAATTTGCTCAGCATTTGAGAAAAAACATTGTGTTGGCACTCTTGCATCACTGAACACTTGCACAGGCACACTTTTTTTTTCCCTCTTTAACTCTGGTCAAGCTGCTTTGCCAATTTAACCAAGACCAAGCCATGAAATGTGTCAACTGTGTGGTTTTTGCAGCTGTGTCTGTGAATTGTTTGCATACCTAACAGATACAGCTCAGAGGGTGGAGAGGTGGAGATTTTGGAAAATAAGCTGCTGGTTGTTCTTCTATTGTAATATAATCTTGGTTTTGGGGGGGTGATTATTCTTGGCAGGAGGACAGTGCTGATTTGAAGTGCCAGCTCCAGTTTGCCAAAGAGGAGGCAGCGCTGATGCGTAAGAAGATGGCCAAACTGGGCAGGGAGAAGGATGAACTGGAGCAGGAGCTCCAGAAGTACAAGTCCATCTATGGAGATGTGGACAGTCCCCTGCCTACTGGGGAAGCAGGCGGCCCACCCAGCACCAGGGAGGCTGAGCTGAAGCTTCGTTTGAAGCTGGTGGAGGAGGAAGCCAACATACTGGGCAGAAAAATAGTGGAACTGGAGGTGGAGAACAGGGGGATTAAAGCTGAGATGGAGGATATGAGGTGCCAATACGAAAAAGAGTGTCTCAGCAGGGACCACATTTCAAGCATTCCTACCTCGCCCTACGGAGACTCTGTGGAGTCAGCCACAGAGCTACGCAGGCACCTGCAGTTTGTGGAAGAGGAAGCAGAGCTGCTGAGGAGGTCAATCTCTGAAATTGAGGATCACAACAAGCAGCTAACGAATGAACTGAACAAATTCAAGTTCGAGCCAGGCCAAGAGCCAGGCTGGTTGGATGATGCAGCATCCAAGGGTGGTGGGACCTTGCAAGAGGAGCTGAAATCGGCCAGGTCACAAATCAATGAGCTGAGCGGGAAAGTGATGAAGCTCCAGTATGAGAACAGGGTCCTGATGTCCAATGTCCAGCGTTACGATCTGGCCTCTCACCTGGGCCTGCGCACTTCCAGCCCCAGGGACAGCGATGCCGACAGCGATGCTGGGAAAAAAGAGAGTGACAGCGAAGATGGTCGTCCGCCACAGCCAAAGAGAGAGGGGCCCATTGGGGGCGAGAGTGACTCTGAAGAAGTGTATGAGAAGACGTCGGGTTTTGGGAGTGGGAAGCCATCAGAAGTCAGCGACCTGTGCTCCACCGAGCTCATGAGAGTGAAAGAGGACACCGAGTCATTAATTAACATCAAACGTGAGGCCGAGCGACTTGAGAGGACTGTGGAGCGCCTTATCACCGATACGGACAGCTTGATTTATGATGCAAAGGTGCACGTAACCAGCAGCCCATCCACAGAACAGGATTTCAGAAGTGGTGAGGAAAGGGGAGAAGATAAGCATGAACCAGAGCTTCTGGACACTGTCAACTCCAGGATGAAAGCTTTCCGGAAGGAGCTTCAGACCTTCCTGGAAAAGGTTGATCACATTGGAGAGGGCCTTAAGGAGCAGATGGAGGACCTCTCCCCTCTTCCCCATCTCACAGAGTCTTCCAGTTTCCTATCCACAATGACCTCCATGTCCCGAGACTCTCCCATTGGTAACCTGGGGAAGGAATTAATCACTGACTTCCAGGTAGGTCAGCCTCTTACTTGCCTTCATTCTCTTTATCGTTTCTCTTTCTTTCTGGCAATTGCTACCCTAGAGCTAATTTTCCTCACAGCTGCTTTGTTATGATTTCAGACCCGCAGTGTATTAAGTGTGTAATGTTAAACAAACACTTTATAGTTTTTTTTCTTTTATTTATTTGCACAACTCCTTTGATTCAGAGGCGGTTCCTCGTGGCAAAAAGGCTAATCCATTGGTGTTAAAGAGATCTGTCTTGTTTTTGTCTGTAACATCAGTGTTTCCCCATGAAAAAAAGGAGATTAATTAAAAAAAAAAAATCTGGTAAATGTAAATTAGAAGCCTTGCTAAGAAATGTGAGGAGGTCTTTATTATGCTCTCTTGTAAAAGGGTCAGGCATGTTCTCAAAAGCCTTGCCAAAAGAACCCAACCAAATGCAGTTTTCTAAGTGATGTGTTTTGAAAAGCCTGCTTACAGCTCACTCCCCTAAGCGAGCAGCGAGTGAGAAGCTCTGTAGCCAGCGAAGGACTGCCTTGCCTAAAGCGTTGCCCATGGGCGCATGTCTAAACTGCCACAACTGCCACACTGGATATGGCTTTTCTGCACCGCACAAGTAAGGAAGGAAGAGCCTTGTGTCCCATATCCTTCATGACTTGTATGCTTGCTGTTGGTTTGACTCATGCATCCTCATTGCATGCGCCTCATAACCAGTGTTTGCATTCTTTTTTCCTCTCTTTCTCTTTTTTGCTTTTCAGATGTTTCAGCCCATCATTTTGCTCATCCTCATTTTGGTTTTGTTCTCTTCACTTTCTTATGCCACTGTATTTAAGTTGTTTTTTCTGTTCACGCTTTTCTTTGTCTTGTAGTTTTTCAGTCGTCTACCTTACCCATTTTTGTTTTCTTTATTCCCTCCTGTCCTTTTGTTTTTTTGTTATAAACCGCCCATGCATCTAACAGTCCAAACTGAGGGATCAGATGGAGTGGCAGCTCAAACAAGATCGTGGAGAGGAGCAAGAGATTCGCCACCAGCGAGCCACCACCGACCCACACCGCAGAGCTGATGGAGACATTAAACTCTACAGGCCAGGAGACAAGGGCTGTTTCAGTCTAGAGGTCAGCAAAGCAGCCCAAATTACTGCCTCCTGCTGCCTTAGCCAGGAGATGAGTAACAGAAGCCAGGGGTTGGGGGAGTAAATTAGACCAAACACGGCACCCCTGTTGTGAAATTTGTAATTTATCTCATTTGCCCTGCACAGTTTCAGAGAAGCAAATTTGTCCCAACTTTCAAGCCATCACCCTGCTCCAAGTAGCTTTGCCAAGGGAGAAAGTAGAGCTCAGGGACCCTTTGCAACTGAGTAGAGAAATGAAAGATCCCCAGAAGAGGTTGCAATCCCTGATATTTGATCATGCTTCTAGGTTTTACCTTGTTGGATATTTTAAATCTGGAAAGTCTACAGATAGAGAATGCTTTGCATTTTGTCTGTCAGTAGATGCTGCTGTGCATGGTGATTCTCAACACCATGCAGGAATACAGCACCATGCAGCTTCCAAAAAAAAGCTTATTTAAAACATAGGTCTCCATTGTTTGGGTTGTTGAGTACTTTTCCATTTGTCAAAAGCATCAATCAGTTTTTATTTTAATCTTCATTCATGCAGAGGCCATATCTGCCTCAGTAAACATCTCCTTAGCTGCTTTCTCATGAACACAGATTGTCTGGACAATGCCACTGGTCATGAAGAAAACAACTCCGAATCTGTCTCCATAAAGGTGGGCTTGGAGCAGGGAGACACTTTTCTGCTGGCCGCTGGGAAGCCAGTTCTCGAAACTGTGATGGTTAGAGTAGCTTCTAGTGAGGGATGAGTTTTAACATGCTTTTAATTCTAAAGTCACATGAAGAAGAGTCAATAGATCTGAAACCCTAACTCAGTCTGGAGAAAGGGAACTGCTGGCTAGGACAGCTGAGTTAGTGAGTGAGCAATTTCAAGGCATAGAAGGCAGGGGTAGGAAGACAAAAACTTCAGGGCAGCTGGTAGCCAAGCAGCATGATGATGTGAATATGAAAGGGAAAGTGGCCCTTCATCTTAACATAGGTAATTCTTTGCTGGTTTTGTTTGGTTTCGTTTAAAATATCCTGAGAGCACAGATCTTTGGTAGGATTAGAACAGTAAATTTGTTCAGCAACATCTCTTCCAATTTGCACCTGCAACAGTGATAATAGACCACAGGAAGGATATCTGATAAATATAGAACTGCATAAGCCTCTCGCTGAAGGGTAAAGTAATTCTTCTTCAGCTGTGAAAGGGGCCAATGAGGTAGAGAAATCTTGTTGTTCACCATGGATCCCTTTGTAATCAGAAATTTATATTGCTCAACAGTTATGGTAGATAGGGTTAGAAAATTACTTCAGCAATATTTCAATATTACAATATTTCTGCTTAAATTCTGTCATATTTATTGGTTGCCCCTTCTCTTAGATCAGTGTTGTTATTATATTAAGGCCTGTATATGTATGCCCTCTGTTAGGATTAGGGATTTGGCTAATTTTTGCACAATACCTTTTTTTTTCCCTCTCCCAGGATGGGATGAGGTATAAAATATGTACAGAAAACTGTACTTGAACAGAGAAGGGAAAGTTTTCATACCATAGCCTGGCAAGGTGCAAACCAGTAATTATAATCAAAGGTAGAGAATAATCAGTTTAGGACGTGATGTGCTCAAAATATGACCTAGGCTGGGGCTCAAATAGTCTAACTTGAGAAAATGTGGAACACTAAAGTGTTTTTACAGCCGTGATCACTTAAGCAAAAAGAATATGACACTGCTTTATGCTCAAACTTTTCAGTGGGAAGGCAGCCCACTGAAATCTTGAAATCTTAAAATCTGTAGTAGTCAAGTGAAGGAGAAGATTTCTCAAAATAATTTTGGAAGGTATTATTTTATTATTTCATTATTCAATTTAGCTTTATTATTCACTTTAAATATTTAAACTCATTTAAAATTGTTTTTTTAAAATTTCATACACTGCACTATCAAAAACTGTATTTTTTTGTTCCAGATGAATGAGCAGGAAAGAATACTGTTCAAATACTAAAGGTGTCTTTGTATTACCACAGAATTTTCAAGTGGAGACTCAAATGCCCACAATGGGTATGGCTATACATGAGTCTTTATCTGCTTTGACTTAAGAAGTGAAAATATATGCACTGGCCTTCCATTTCACTGACGAAAATGCTTTCTTTTTATTCAAGCAAGCTCATTTGTTTAAATTTATTTTTTCCAAGCTGAATTTTAAATTAAAATTTTTACAAGCAATGCCACACAGCTTCCATTTAGCGATTCCTTCTAGTTTTAAAAATGAGCACCATGGGAGCTTAATTGTTTTATTAAATACAATAAATGCAGACAGACATGTGCTTGAAACTACCCTGTGGCCTAACTGTAAACATGTGCGTTGTTTGGGCTTTGCACTTGAGTTGTTAGTGCAACAGGATTATTAGAATGTATTTGCATGTTAAAGAGGTCGGTTAGAGTCCCAGTCCAAGGGAAATTATATCTTGAAATTGCCTTAAGAGCAGGGCTTTGTTTTCTTGCTGAAACAAGCCTTTCAGCTGCTGTTGTGAGAGGCTGGAGCCCATTGGGGTGGATTTCCAATCCATTATTCATGATTTTAGCAGAGCTCTGTTGTGGTGGGATGGGGAAATCATTCTTTACTATCCAAGGAAAAAGCAGGTGAACTAGTAAGAATTGCCCTGACTAAAACAGGAAAACTAAAACAGGTAACATGGAGCAAACATCTTATGGCAACAAACAGAAACCAATGGGAAAAATGGTAAATAATTTTTCACCTGGTGATTTCTGCCAATGGAATGTCTGTAAAGGAAAGGCAGTTTTCTCAAGCAATTGCTTCCTGTTTATTCAGAAGCAGGAAGACATTCAGAAGAAGAAAAATTTTTCTCTTTTAAATGACCAGATATGGCTTGGTATATTTGGTATCTGATGCTCTAAATTGGAGCTATATCTCCTATTTCTCTTCCTTCAGAGGATCTCAGTCCTGCCTTTTCCTGAACAATTGTATATCAAAGGCAAAAGCACTTTGCATTTCAAATTTTGATTGTTTTCATACATGGCTTTTAAAGACTTACACATTTAGTTCTGTGTAGAAAAATGCCATAAAATCTCTGACACTCATAGATTATGGAAAAAGAACCACTGAAGGGAATTCATTTAAAAGGAGTGAATTGTCACCAGAGATTTAAAATAAAAGCAGATAGGCTGGAGAAGGTGAGAGCATGTCTTAAACAACATGTTTCCCACAAGGTCTAGTAATAAAATAGGAATAGCATATAAGCCACTTTTAATATGTTTATCCATTCTCCTTATTTCTCATGCCAATAAGGAATGTATAAGTCTAAGTTAATTACTGGGTTAAGTGTGGGCCAACCAGATACACTGATGTGCAATGTAGGTAAGTCAATTTACCACCTGCTTTGAATTAAAACTTCTGTATGGATCCATTTTGGACGTATGAGGAGAATCTTGATCTATATTTTGACAGTTCTATTTTTTAACTGGTGCTGTTTCTGTACAATTTTCATAACTCCATGTGAGTGTTTTTCAGCTGGATGGTTTTTGCAGCAGCTCCCAGCCATGTGCTGAAAATTTACACTTGCATTTCTCTGGTTAAAGGTTTTGTTTTTGCAGAAAGGAAACAGTGAACGGTTTACACATTGTGACTTTTTTTCTTCTGGTAAAACAAACCAACAACCAGAACCAAGGACCACATAGAAAGTTGCATGTCTTATATTCACTATTCCTCCCATGCAAAGCTGTGGGAAGAAGAAAGATAAACTGATGCTGTGATTATTCCTTCCCACCAAGATTAGGAGATGCAAGAATAATTTACTTTGATGTATTGTATTCTTTCTTACTATGTAAGATTCTGTAGAGGTTGACAGTGTAAAGGCTTAAAAGACCCTTTATGATGTAAATCTGGATATTTGAGTCCTAACAGAACTTGGTGAGACTTTGTGTACTATCCATACAATGAGATGGATTTTTAAAGACTTGAAGTGTTCTGTGTTTTCCCAAACTCAGAGGCTTTTCATATAAGAACAGACAAACAACCACACAGCTGCCTATTCTACACTAGAAAATGAAATATATGTTGTCTATTTTTAAGGGGTGAGAAGAATAGTGCATCTTCAGAAGCAGCCTCTGCCAATTCAGTTAGATGTGAATTGCATGTAAAAGGTATTACAAAAGGCACTGGAAATTTCTTTCTGATGAATGCAATAGCCAGCTCTCAATCTGTGAAAAAGTAGCAATTTCTAAACTGTGTGTTCAAACGTAAGGTCCAAATATCAAAGCATTATAATGTAGCTTTAGAGGAGCAGCATAAAATATTCATCTTCTAACTTGCTTCAAATTACGCACAAATGCTGGAGAGCATCATTCTACCCTGCCTCCCTCAGGCCTTATTTTGTTTGATCATTTCTGGGGGGGAAAAAAAAAGCTTAAGAGAAAGATTCCATGAAATTTCATGTTCACGGTTGTTGCATATAAATTGATTAAGTTTGCAGGCGAATTGAGGTTGCAATTGGCTATGGTAAAATGGAGAAAGCAGACAAATAAAAGCCAGCCATACCTTGTCTTGGATGGCAATCTTGTAAAAACAAGTCATGGCAGATATGTGGGATTGTGTGAGCTGCAAAGTAACCTGAAAAGCTGTCAACACTCTGAGAGGGGGGAAAGGGGTCTGTGCAGTGGGGGAGCAGTGGTGAAGTCTCCAGGATGACTTTTCTCTGTGCATCCTCTTGAGGTAAAGGCATCAGCATGGATTAGCTTGTTCTGGAGTGACAACAGGTGAGATAAAAGGACTGAGCAGAAGGATTTGACAGTGCCTGTCTGAGGGGACAGGAGTGGTGGTGTGTCTGGTAATGCAATAACTGGGATACATGGGGAGCTGTGAGTTGGTGTTGGGCTATGGATGAAGTGCAGCTGTTTCCGTGGTGCTGTGGTAGAGTAGCACTGGCTCGTAGTTCCCGTGGTATTGTGTTTGTATGTCTTGTTTTGGTGAGTGTGTGTCTGTTCTGTGGTGTCAGCACACTGTGCAGTGGCCATCGTGTTCGGGGTGTCTCCTGTTCCTCGTGTAGCACACTCCTTCATGAGAGCAAAGGAGGCAAAGAATGGAATATAACAGGTTATCAACTGTTGTGTCCATTTTCTGGTAATGTTCCTTTTCAAAACAAAACAAAACCACAGTTGTGCCACAGACTACAGCCTGCTGGTTGTATGATAAGGGACTGATTTCCACATATCAGAGCAGTATCAGGTACCTGAACTGCGTACACAAATATTCCAATATACATTTATAAGTATTATTCATTCATGATCCTAATAGATTGTTTTAGCAGCAATCTATTAGGCACTTAAACAGCCTTACTGCCCATGATTTCAGCAGTGAAGCTATCCCAATGCCTCTGGTAGAAATATATTATATAAATTATTATAGACTGTGAAGAGTTCTCAGGTTGCATCAGAAGGCAAAAGGTGTGCAGCTCTTCATTCATGCACTAGCTGCTTTCCAACTTAAATTTTCTTTAGGACTTACAAAAATATGTTGACCTTAAAGAGACAAAGAAGTCATGATGGGATTTTGCCTTAGCATGCATTTAATACTGCATCTGCCGTCATGATATATTTAACTTCTTATCAGTAATTCCAACAGTTCCCACATAATCCCAGCACTGAAGTTTTCCTGAAATTTGGCTTTTCATGGGCTACATCTTTGTAAAAAAATTGCATGGGTTGATAATTTCAAATTCATAAAGGGAAGGAACGAATTTATTTTTTAATTATACATGAATGAACTGATACATTGGTTTTTGTTTGGCATATTCCTAAGGAAGCCTGATCAGAATAAAATAATGCAGAAATTCCTGATGAAAGTAATTTTTCCTTTATTGCATGAGAAAATTAAATAAAGAATTTCCAAATGATTGTGCAAAACTGACAAATCCCATCACAAGCAGTTCTTTTCAAATCCAGATTTTGACCTTATGCACTACAAAATGTCTGCAGATACATTACAGAGACAGATGAAACTGATAAGGCAGACAATGTTCTCTTAGTCACTTTATGTGTACCTTTCAGAGGGATGGAAGTGTCCTTTCCTCAGGTACAAACCAGACATGCACAAGTCAATAAATGACTCAAGTAAGGAAGGAACTGATAGGACCCAGAAAGTCTGTGTAGGTCCACTTTGGTTTCCAGCAGAGTGTGGCCCTGCAAGTAGTTTTTGGGATACTTCCATTTGCCTTATCTCATTTTTCCCTAGCGGAGGGGTAAGGAGTGTCTGTTCCAGGGAGAACTGCATTTTGAATAACCAAAATGTTCCAACAAGGGCAGTGTGGCCTGAACAGCAGCAGCTGCTGGCTTTGCTCTGGGAGGTGGGAGGAGTGGCGAGGAGATGGATGCTGGGGCTGGGGAAATGGCAACACAGCCCAGGAGAGCAGTCCCACGACCTTTGCTGTGTCCTTGCAGCTGCTGAGGCTGGAGCTGAGAACTTGGGATTGCAATTTGAAGCCTGAAGCAACCCTGTCATGAAGTACATTTTTGCTCTGGGAAGTGGGAGTTTGGTGCTGTGGGGCTTTCTGTGGTCACACACGTGAAGAGGATGGCATCTAGCTGAGCATCACTTTTGTACAGATAAATCAGCTTTGGCACCAATGTGAGAGACACAAAGTGAAGGGCACAGAAAGTTCTGATCAGAAAAACAAGTGCCACAAGATTAATTACTGTAGTATAAATAATGAGATCTGACTCTACCTTCTTGGGTCTTTATTTTTGAGTTAAGTAACTTTCAGGAATAAAGCTGATGGGATGCCAAACTTACTGAGAACATACAATTGAAGATATTAAGATTAAAACAGTATTGGACCTGAAAGGAAGGATACTTAATTATTTTGGTCAGATCTCAGGCTCACACAGCTTATCAGTGTGACATTTTTGTTGTAATTATTTTGAGTAGAAATCACAGAGTGAATTTGACTTGTGCAAAGAACTGTCTTGTATCTGAAGAAAGGGATCTTATGTATACTTGGTTTAACAAATGCTATCCCATTTACTGCCCTATCAAAACTGTTGCAAATGAATAAATAGTTAGGTACAACATTCATGCATTAGATTCATCTTGTGCAAAGGTGTTAAAATTTCACAGCTTTGATTATGATGAAGAAATGCACCACCAAATACATAATCCTGCAAACAGGAGCTTCAGCTATCAAGTCCAAATCCAGAGCAGAGGCCTGAAGAGAATATCCAATATGTAACATCAGCATTCCAGCTTTAGTTTCCAGAAGAAGCCACACAGGAAATTCCCACACAGATTTAGGACATTGTTATTTATTTGGACACTGTGCTTTGGTTTTAACTATTGATAATCTTGAGTTGTGCAGATGTGTGTCCCATGGCTCTTTTCTTTTTCATTTTTTTTTTACACCCCCGAGACACATTATCTGCTAAACCTTTCCCTTTGTCCTGCTGATCAGCTCAGGGATTCCCATGTTTTACCTGTACAGAATGTATCGATACAGGAGCTTCAGGCTCAGCTTGAGCAGGAGACAAGACTTCACCGAGAGGAGCAAGAAAAGTTTTCAGAAAGGATCATCCAGGTAAATACCAAACCCACCTGCCGGGAGAGACGCATGGCCGTGATGTGTGACGTGAGCCTTGTTTGTCAGGACTGTGGGAGCTTGTGTCCTGATGGCTGTGCCTGTGTGACCTCCTCTGAGTAAATGAAGAATCTGGAATCTGGGGAAATCTAAACTCAAGCCCATTTTGCCGCTGTGAATCTGGCTTCTCTGCTTGGTGGAGAGAATTTTTGTCCTCCCCTCTGTAGGGGAAATCATGGTAGAGACGTGGAATACTGCATGGAGAGTTCTGTCACCCTTCCTCTCTCTGTGAGCTGGGCAAGCATGTGCTGGATCCCTGGGAGCTCAGTTTGGCTCCGTACCGTATCCTGACTCCTCCTGACTGAAAGAAAATCCAGCACTTTTCTGAAGTCAGAGGAGTTGCTATGCGCACATAGCTGAGAAACAAATCAGAGCATTCATTCTTGTATTTCTCAGTACTCAGTGCTTCCAATCTTCTTATTAATAGCTGGTGAATAAATCATATTTTTTTACATGAGCTCTCCCTGCTCTTTTGAAGGCTGGAACAGATTAGTCAATCATTTTCTGATCTCTAGTTCCTAGGGCAAAAAAAATCTGCTGCTAATTTCTGCAGGCTGTTTGGCTCTTAACTCAAGTTTTCTTCTTAAATTTACTTCATGGACTAAATTCAGCATAATTGTTGCATACTGTAAAGAATTTTTTCCTTGTGCCAGCTAATCTCTTTATGCCCAAGTGGTATCTCTCTGTTTTTTCATAACTAGCTTTAATTTCCAGTTGATCTCCACAGGAACTTTCCACTGGAGCTTTTGAAGGCAACCAGTCAACTGATTTCCTTCCTAGTTGCCTCAGCTGTGAAAGCTTTTTGGAAGCTATGCCTGTCTCTTAAAGTTCTTTTCTTTTGCAATTGCTATCCATTGAAAAAGCATAGCACTCTATGAATCTACCTCCACTAGGGTCTTCTGCAAGAATTCATGACCACAGGGGTTTGAAATACAACAGCTTGTCAAAATGATGAAAAATGCACCAAAATAAAACAGCATCTTCTGGATTATTCATTTTTTTTCCAGATTATGCCTGTTCTGTTGATAATGTTCCTTTTTTATCATTTTCCAGGATTTCTGGTGGAAATTACTCAGATTTTTGCTGTATTTAACCATAATTTTATTTGGTGAAAGAATGGTCATAAACATCAAATCTACACCTTTCTTTCTGTAAAAAAAAAAAAAAAAAAAAAAAAAATTAAAATCAGCTCTTCTTTTGCTTTTTCATTTTTAGGAATGTTTAATGACATCAAATTGATGTGTGCTAGCAGTGTATAATCTCCATGAGTGTTATTAGGAGTTGTGTGTTTTTTTGGGCTATCATGGCTAATTTTGTTCCAGACTACTTTTAAGCTTCATTTTAAACACATTTAAGCTAGCTATTACTGTAAATAATTTCAATTTAATCGGGAACTTTTTAAGGCATAGTAGCATAGACACTAAAAATTTGCATTATGCTGGAGCACATCATTCAGAAGGCAGGCAAGTCCTTAGGAAACTATCTCATATGGACTGGTAGCCTATTTCAGAAGCATCTCAATGTTGCCGTGAAAATCAAACATATATTTCTCAGCAGTATTTATTGCTAGGGAGTCCTAGTTCCTAAAATATTATTTATTCTTATGTGAGCATTGTTTGTTGCAGGGCGTGTTCCAGTGGTTTGGATTGTTGTTGTCATAAGCGTACTGTGGCTTTCATAGATTTTATCTATGGAGCTGGTTGGGAAAAGGAGAGGCTGTTGCTCTGCAGAATGGAAAATAGAAACTGGCACCTGTAAACAGTGACTCTGTACTCATTTTCCATCTGCATTTTCTTCATCTATGAAGAAGCCACAGCTTGTTGAAGTGAAACACTTTCTCATCTATGCACAATATGAGATATTGTGCAACTAACTTGTACAAGTTCTGTCGGGTGCAGGTCATGCCATGGTTTGATTTTTAATATATTGAGGGAAGGTCACATTTAAAGAATGATGTTTCAGGTGGCCTTGCATTGAAACAGGTGTAGTTATACATGTCCTCTAAAAAATGAGCTTTTCTCGGTGATTTTAGTACTAAGGCTGAGACATGTCAAATGCTGGGTTGCAGTCTGTTCCTGTGTCTTCAGTTCCTGCTTGTGTCCCAGAAAAGTCATGCCAGAATGAGAGACTGTTTACTGTGGTATCATTCAGATGCCTTCAAGTATGAACTGCAAGAAGTGAGGGATCAGTAGTGGTATCTGGGGTACTGGAGGTGTTTTCTTCAGAAGTGTTGCCCTTCCAGAGGCAGAGGAAGACGTAGCAACTGTGGACAGATTGAACCTGTGCCTGTGGGGGGAAGTTGCAAGGCAAATATTCTGGGTTTTCTGAAGGGCAGCTGTGGTCCCACCTTGTACAAATGGCTGCAAATGCATTTAATAGGTGTGATACGTGCAGCAGCGTGGGCTGGTGCCTCTGCTGGGAACCTACTGCAGAGATACAATCAAGAGAGGGAGGAAAATGTGAGTGGTGTAAAATGTTTAACCAGTTTCAGAACTCCTGTGCATCTTTGAAGTAAATATCCACTTCCACAGCAGGTTACTTTCATATGGTTATCTAAGAAAAGCTTATAATCTGCTATCCTCTAATTTCCTCAGCAGTCATAACTGCTGAAGAACTTATTGAGCCAAACTCAATAGCTGCTCACTACTGGCGAAAATTAGAGATTTCAGTTTGTCTCACCCAGTGAAGAACAACTCCTGGAGACTGCTCCAGGACACCACTCTGTTGACATGTTGCCTGTTATTCCATTAAAGCTGGAGGAGGAGCATCTGCAGACCCTGCGGAGAAAAGACTTGGAAGTGCAGAGCTTGACTTTGCAGAACAAACTGGAGGAGAAGACCTGGAGTCAGGAGAAAAATCTGCTGCAGCAGGAACTCAGGCATTTCAAGCAGGACACCTTTCTCCTGTATGTCAAACTGAAGTGGCTGCTGAAACACTGGCGGCAAGGCAAGCGAATGGAGGAGGAAGGGGAGGACACATTAGAGGTAACTGTCCCACCTTAATAACCCAGTTGAGAACTGGGATGTCCCTTCTTTAAGTGTAGACTTGAAATATGATGTGGCACCAGCAGCTTTCAAATTGCACATATGTTGAAAGGGGATTCAAATTAAACATGAAAGCTGGTGTTGGCTTGTGCTGAGCTATACTCTGCATGATATGTTACAGATCACCCATATTTAAAGCAAAACCCTTAACTAGTACAAACAGCTGGTCCTAAAATACTGTCACAGAGTAAATGAAAAATTAATTAGGTCTCAAAGATATGACTCCTGAGAAATTTTTTGAAAGAATAAAAGCACATTAGCAAGGTGAGGGAGTCAAATCTGTTTAGATGGATTGAGTGCTGTTGTTTTTCTCATCCTGTGCACAGTGTGTTCTTTACAAAGCCTTCAGCAATACAGATGGAGGGAAGCTCTGTTTCTGTGTTGGCAGGAGAATTATACAGCTTCATGTGGGAACTTACAGTGAATCATCCTTATTTGTTCCCCTTCTCCACACACACGTCTGTCGCCGTCAGCAGCAGTACATCGGTCGTCATCATGGTGCTTTTCTAAGTAGAGGCTAAATCAAGATCAGGAATTTCAGAAGTACATAACAACCTGGAATTCCCCAGCTGACACATCTCAGCAGGGGTGTGGTTGCCAGCCAACACGCACTGTGAAGGAAGTGTTGAGTTGCACACTCAGGATTACCATTTGCTTCTTAGCTAAAGGAAAAAAAATAAAATGTTTTCCAATTCTGACATTTTTCACTAAATTCTTGAGAAAAATAGATTTGTTTTGCAGGTTCATGCAATTCTGAAGCCATTTGGTAAGCAACAAAGTAATTTTTCTCAATATTTCTGGTCCTTTTATATGTAGTGTTTTTCAAGGTTTGCTGCATTTGGCAGTACAAGTAACCTTTCAGGTCTGGTTGGAGTGTGCCTAAGCTGAATACTCCAATGTTTTGTATTCTTAGATAAATGGTTGATGAACATCTTTAGATTCATCTGCTGCGGTAATATGAATCAGAAACAAGAGATGAGTATCTATTTAAAAATAATTTGCTTCTACTTTACTTCAGCTGTGTTAATTTGCTTCTGTGTAAATTAGCTCATCTTCTAATACCTAAAAGCTTTCATTTATTGACTGTTTGGATTTTTTGACTGGTTAATTTATTACCAGCCCAGCTTTAGTCATTATTGGAGTCGTGTTTTGCTCACACTTTACAGAAAAGAAAGTGATGGATTTGGATACTTCCTTATCTCCATTACTTCATCACAAAATGCACCAATGTCTTGTATAGTTCTTGATTAGTGTGTGATGGATTATATCCATCATGTGGCATTAGACCCATCCCAGCTGCATCAACCCCTGGTGTTGCAGGCCTGCATAGTGGTGTGTTCACATACTCAGTAGGTGATGTATCACCCAAAGATCAGTGCTGTGCCCTGAGTTGAGGTCAATACATACCACCATAGAGATGCAGCCCCTTCCCTGAGTCCTTCCGGAGATTTCTGGTCCCAGAGGTAAAAGGGAAAATCACGTTCCTGCGTTCCCGCATTCCTGTGTTCCCGCATTCCTGTGTTCTTGCATTCCTGTGTTCTTGCATTCTAGATCGAGCGCCCTGAGCCCCTCCTAGACTTCAGCATTCAGCCTGAGCAGAAGGCAAATGATGCAGAACGAGAGGAGGAGGAGGAGGATGTTGTGTTTGCACTGGCAGATTTCTCCCAGCATCCCATCACGGAGAGCACTGATCATGGACCACAGCTGCAGACTGCCGAGTTACTGCAGCAGCAGAAGCAGGTACTACACCATTTGTATATCTTGCCCTGGGAATGGAAACCGTGGGTTTTCCAAGAGAGTTCTGTGCTGCTGTATTAAATCACCTAGAATCATACTTGTGTAAATACTTCTAGCTACACAGCAATTACAGTAGATTTCATCCATTATGTTTATATTTACATTTAATCACGAGCCACGTGATTACTGTTCTTCTGTTGACAGATGCTATCAGTGAAAAATCCTATTTCCTCTTGTGGCTGCTTGCCCAGAAACATCTATCAGTATGTGATGGTTTGCAGAATTTACAGGCTCCTCTTGTCTGAGCACATCTATTGTACTCCACTGTCAAGCTTTTAGCAAGAACATGTGATTTTGTTTCCTTTAAATAATTTAAGAAACTAGCACATGTGTTTAATGTTTCCCTTAGAGATGGTGGGAAAACAGTGTAAGAGTTCCTTCCTGTCACTGGGCTTGTTTTTAAAAGCCTGAAATCAAATCATATTAACTTTTCCCTGGCATGTCCTGTACCATGACTGTGTGTCAGAGCACTGCCATATATCCTAGCTTTTTCCTTTGTACATTTAATATACTAACTATCCTAATCTATTTGTACTAACTATCCTAATCTATTCGTAACAATACAAATAGAAAAAGAAGACAGATTTATTATATTTTTTAAATGAAAACCATTCATATGAGACCATCCTATTACATGAATTTATTTGCAATCATAAATAGAATGGAGCAAGAATTCTGTGTGAAAAACAACTTCAGGGGGAAAAAAATCTTCAGTCTTCTGATGTCCCTTCTTTATCCAAGCCTTTGACTTGGGAGCCTGCTCCACAGTGACAGCTCTGAGGCAAATATGTGCTCCCTATGATCACAATACTCAGCTGGAGTCACTGCAGGCCTGGGGATTGTGTCTCTTTGCCTCTGAGCTCTTCACCTTGAATTGCCCAGACCCTCATGACTATGGACAACCTGTTTTCTAACTGCCTATGTGTACAGCAGGCAACAGAAAGTCTCTATCCTATAAAAAGGATGTTCTCTAACTATTCTTTTCTGTGAAGAGCACTGCCAAGTTAGTATTCATTTGATTGGTTTGGCATTTTCTACCTTGCTGGTCACCCAGACCCACCCCTGTCTTCCTCTCAGCAAGCTCTTTGCTTGTCAAAGGCTGTAGAAGGCCACGCAAGAGATGCTCAGGAACACATCATCTGATTGCACTCCATCTCCTGGACTGCTTTATTCTGGAATTAGTAAAATAAATATATGCCAAAATGCTGTTTCTTTACAAACTCCATCATGTACTAACTTTCCATATAGAACTCTTAAAATAACCAATAACATTCAAATGAATTATGTACTCTTTGAAATAATCATTGCTTAGACATTAATCTCAGTTAAGGTGGCAGAAATGGGCAGTAAATTGATCATAATTCATTTTTATATACATCACAGCAGTTCCAGCCAATCTTGCTTGAAGAATTGATCCATAGGAACTGACCACATCTTGGTACTCCCCATGATGATAAATAGTGCATGATATCCAAATGAACTTGTCAGGATAAAACAGATTCCTTGCTCCCCAGCCAAGAAAAGTGTTATTTCAACACTGCAAGAATGAATAAGTTTGTAAATATTTCTCATTTAAGCACTATAATTTGCTCTGCTTGCATACACTACGACATCCTCTCACAAGTACGGCTGTGCTGAAAAGCACACTGAGTTTTGAGGGGTTTTCTGCAGGTTCCTTAAGCCCATAGCTGGAAAAAACACTGTTTATACAGGGAATTTGGAATGATTGGTGCAGCTGAAATTCTCCAAGGTTTGCACCTTTCCAGAAAAACCCAAAGCTGCTGGATCTGCCTGACAAGCTCCAAGATGAAATGCATCAGCACTTACTTCACATCAGGAATGAAACTTTTAGTTAGTCTAGGAGTGGCTGAGATAACTAGGTCAGAAAAAAGAAAGGGCTTACAGTAACCTGAGGTTACCCATATTTATTTTTAACATTTAATGTTAATATTTAATGGCTTGTGTTTTCAGAATGCACTCTTGCTGCTGACTTTCTTATCCTGCCTGGAAAGTGGAATTGTTTTGAGAAAAAATATAAACCCAAAGGCCATAATCTCAACATGTAACTTTTAATTTTATATTGCTATGATTTGAGATACTCAGCTGGTTGAAAAAAGTCTATTTGGACAGGGTGGAGGGATATAGGCAAGGCAGAGTGGAAAGGGGAGAAAAAAGTTAAGCTGATAAGAGGCATAGTAGATCTGAGAGGGGTCAGTTCATCTTTTCCTTCATGACATTGTCCCTTGGCTGGTAGCTGGGGGACACAGCAGGAAGTGCCAGGCAAGGTTAAGAGCTAGGCTGGAAGTTTGTTTGTATTTAGGAGATAATCAAGCAAGTTGGATAGCAGAGGAGAACAGCCTGTGGATAAAGGAAGAGCTTTGTTTCAGTTGAGTATGAAGGGTGCTATGCCTGTTAGATGGTGTAAGATAAGGAAATAAGGAGCAGAGAGTTTATCTGTGGTCCAGTGGAAAAAGCATTAAAAAACAATACAGTAGTGTTGTTGCTGGGAGGGGTGTCAAGAAAATCCCCAATTAATCTCTTTTTTTTCCATACAATGTTTGTTTTCAAAGCTTAGCTGAGAGAAAAGCCCAAAGGAACAGTCATTAAACCCTGAATATACTGAAATGGGTTGCACCAAGAGTCAGCTTATCTTTTGCCTAGATCTGTGATTAGACAGAAAAAATACATGGTTCTGGTTTGCTGTTTAGGCTCCTGACCTTGAGTTTTTAATTGACTGCTCTACTAAACTGGCTGTAATACCAGCCCGTGGCTGAAGTCTTCAGTGAAATTCTCAAGGGAAATTCTCAGAGAAAAATGAATAGTGATTGAAAGCAGAACCAAACTGCTCTTGTCCAAAACTTTTCTAGGGCTGGATGCTCCTGTTTCTGTGGTTGACTCAACTTCGTAAATGCTCCAGTGTTCTGGAATTTAACTGGAGTTTGCTGCATAAAAGTTTTGTTTGTTGTCAGCTGTTTTTTCTATAAATCCAGAGCTATGGATACAAGTCTAAACTTTTGTAAAGCCTTTTTAATTATCTTGTTTTAGCCTTTGTAATTATCTTGTCTTAGATCAGTTGTGAATCAGTGAGATTCCTCTAAGCTTTAAATTTTAGAAACAGCTGAGGAGCTAAAGAGCCATCTCCTCGCATGGGAGACTGTCCACAGAATCACAGTCATGCCAAATTTCTGCTGTGCAATATGTCTGAAAGGAAGGGGAAGACTATAACAGTACTTGTTGAGTATTAACAGGACTTAGTCTTATGAATAAGCTATTTTGCCAACAAAATCTAAAGCATGGCTAGATGTTAATGTATTTCAGAGCACATTATTTCAAAAGTACTTTCTCTGTTCTCCAAAACCACTCCAGTTTGGCAAAGGAGAAACAAATAATTTCACAGACTTCTCCAGCTTCAGACTATAAATACAGAGTCATGCAGAAGAGACTTCTCTGCAGGAGTACAAAGTATGTGACCAAAACTGGATTTATATTGGCAAGGTAATTAAAATCCCAGCAAGCCAGGGGGCACCTGAGGTACTTATCTCATCACAGTGACATTGATGTAATGTCCCTAGAAATAAGAAAAGCCCTCAACACAATAGGCTACAAACCTGCAATGAGGCTCTTTTGAGTCCTTTATGTACTAGTCCATATCTTCTTTCTTTGCAAACCAAATTTTATAGGACTTTAAAATTATCAAATGTATGTGCAGGAATAAGATTTGTAACTTGCTTTGGTGTCATTTGGTTTTGCTTTTCTTCTGCCTCATTTCTCTTGTGGAGCCTTTTGACTGCTTTGCCAGAGAAAGGTTTGTACAGCACACCAGAAAACACAGACGTGGCTCTTGAATGAAAGCACTTCCCAGACATTTGGAGTCAGGGTTTCCAAAGAGGATGAGACCAGATTTTGATGCCTCCAATACCCAGCAGCTCCTGTTGTGACATTAAGGGCAAAGCTTCAAAGGAGTTCTTATTCTGATTATTACACAAGGGGCTTGAAATGTTTGGAGAATTTAGCCTTAATTAGGTGGTAGAATAAAAATGCATAGTGGAAACATAAAATCTCATTGCATATTGAATAGTAGGTGATCTTATATGCATGATGGAGACTGCTGCTGGATAGCAGGAAACTGCTAATTGGCATTAAATGTTAATGGAATTAATTCTGCTTCTGTGGGTATGTTTCTTGCAAAACCCCATCTTGTACAGCATCACTTTTCATTAGCCCAGATAGGTCAGTCAGTGAGCACCTGCAGTCATTTCCCTACATCTAGCATATTTTTGCTGATGCATCAAATGGCTTGGAAAAAGTAGACCACGTTTGTTTGTTTTTTAAAGAAAAAAGCCACCTTAGCATGTATAATTAGTGAATACAAAAATGGATGAGGTGGGTTCAGTGATGCCAAAAATCTGATGAGCATATGAAGTCAGCCTAGTTGTCTGCATAAAATTGTGTAAGTATTGCCATTGAAAAAAGCACATGACAATTATTTAGATTTTTGCATACTTCTGTTTACTTGACTTGTCTTCAAAGAAGCCTCCATGTAGTTACTTCATGAAATACCAAGTAAGAGGGAATGCAGGAAGCCTTCACTTTAAAAATAAATTAAAAAAAAATTTTGATTAGACTATCATGCAAGGATGGAGACAACTAATTTGAGTTAGGCCTTCCCAATGGAGTTAACACATTCCTGAGAACCAGGTAATTAAATGCTGAATTTTTTGAGTAAGCTTTCCCATTTTTCTGCCCCTTGCTGTGTCTGTCAAGTATAATTTTCATAAAAGTATTTTCTAGTCAGGATAACTTGTCAGATATAATCTCTGGTTACTCCCTGGTGTCTGAGACACTCATTGGGAATATTTAATTTAAATTTTGGACAAATAAATAATATATTTCTGTTTTCTGATTCAATGACTGCAAAAAAAGAATTGTGGGGAACATTTTCTTTTACTAATCCAGAATGAATATTTAGAAAATGTGTTTTGATATTTAACATAAAAATGGCAGATTTTGCAAGTGGTCAGAGAATGTGCAGAAGGTAAGTGCCAAAATTAAGGAAAAAAAAAAAGATTTGAGTAAGAATATGTGATGTCAGCTCTGGGCTAGTCTTTCAGCTTAGCTCCACTCTTGGCTTCTGGCTACCACAAGAGCTCTGACAATATTTTCAGCATGGCCATGACACTCTCAACAGGGCATGAATGGGGCTTTGCTCTTTGATCCCCTGTGCAAGAGGGAAGGGGCCTCCCTGGCCTTCAAGCCTGTGGTACCAGAAGGTGCTGCTGCAAAGCTGACCTGGGTGCAGCTCCCTGGTGTGGAGCAGGAATATGAAGTACAGACTACTAAACACCTTAGCTGAGATACTCAGCTCAAAGCCTCACTCTTATTTCCCAAACCAATTTTATCTGATAATACAAAAGCTTTGAAAAGTTATCCCCTGTATTTTTATGTAGTTTACAAATATTTGGCATTTGATACAGAGCAACAACTGTATGTATGAGACAGACATGTAACTATCCAACAAACCTCAGGAATGATACTCTGGCTTTGGTTTACAGTATTAAAAAAAAATTATTAATGATGTCCTCAGTCCAGAAAGATGCTTAGTGTCTTTTTCAGAGTAAATTAAGTACCGTTGGCTTTCAGGAAGCATCAGCACTAGGCCTAACAAGAAGAGAATCACAGAATCATTTAGGTTGGAAAATATCATCAAGTCCAACTGTAAACATAATACTGCCAATTCCACCACTAAACCACATCCCAAAATGTCACATCCACACATCTTTTAAATACCTCTAGGGATGGTGACTCAACCACTTCCTGAGAAGCCTGTTGACAGAGAAGACATTGCTATTCTTAGTTTTCTCATGCAAAAGTTAGCCCAGGCACTTTCTCTCCCATGCAGTGGACACTCAGTCATTTTTCATCCAAAAAAAAAGAAGCTGGGGATTAAAGCCAGCATCCAATGACAGCATTTTGTCTGCTTTGTTGTGGCAGGCGAGTGAAAACCGGAAGCTGCTGAACGCTCTGAAGGGTTTGCTGGATGAGTTCCGCTCGGAGCTGCGGGACGAGGAGCGGGAGCGCCAGGGGCTCCAGCAGCAGTACGCCCTGCACAAGGCAGCCTGGGAGGTGGAAACCACCGAGCTCAAGTGCCGCCTCCAACAGGTAACGTGCCCTGAGTCCAACATCTGGAAAGGACAGCTGAGGTGCTTAATGAAACAGGAAATTTACTCTGGCAACGTTCCTCACTCGGGGTCACCAAATGTGATGGTGTTCCCAGGGGTCCCAGGATGAGGGAAGAGACAAGAATCTTGACTCCATGTTTCAGAAGGCTGATTTATTATTTTATGATATATATTATTGTGACCTTGCTCACAGGGGTCTTAGGTTGAGGGAAGAGACGAGGATTTGCCTCTATGTTTCAGAAGGCTTGATTTATTATTTTATACATATTATATTAAAAATATACTAAAAGAATAGAAGAAAATATTTCATCAGAAGGCTAGCTAAGAATAGAATAGAAAGGAATGATAACAAAGGCTTGTGTCTTGGACTCTCTGTCTGAGCCAGCTGGACTGTTATTGGCCATTAATTAGAAAACAACCAGCATGGGCCAATCAAAGATCCACCTGTTGCGTTCCACAGCAGCAGATAATCAATGTTTGCATTTTGTTCCTGAGGCCTCTCAGCTTCTCAGGAAGTAAAATCTTAAAGAAAGGATTTTTCATAAAAATGTCTGCAACATATTATATTAAAAGAAAATTATATATTGAAACTATACTAAAAGAATAGAAGAAAGGATTTCATCAGAAGGCTAGCAAGGAAAGGAAAGGAATGATAATAAAATCTTGTGACTGACCAGAGAGTCTGAGACAGCCAGACTGTGATTGGCCTTTAATTAAAAACAATCAACTTGGACCAATCAAAGATGCACCTGTTGCATTCCACAGCAGCAGATAATTATTGTTTTTCTTTTCCTCTGAGGCTTCTCAGCTTCTCAGGAGAAAAATTCGGACAAAGGGATTTTTCAGAAAATATCATGGCAGCAATTTACGACAAGCTGAAAAGGGACTTTAGTCATGCATTTTATCCTGGTGTCTGAAAGCCTTCACCTGAAGCCTGATCAAAGCTTTGCCACTTGAGTTGCCTCTTGGATTTCCAGTTGTCCCAGTACAAGGGCCCATGCAGTGGGCCCTGTGTGATGTGGGTGAGAACAAAGGAACTGAACCTCTTGCTGTATTTTCTCAGCAGAGCTGGATGGCGATTTGTCAGCTGTGGTGATGAGACATGTGGGTGTCTGTATTTATTGGAGAGAAAAATGTCTTGTGCTTGGCATGCTCACAATTAGTTCATCGCTATGCCTTGGTGTGTTAACAACTGCAGTATTTGATTTATAGCAGAGAAAAGAGTGATTCAACAACACTGAAGTGATAGATCAATATATTGATATTAAACCAGCCATTCAAAGCTACTGGTTAGTGATGGAAGGGAAAGCTCTCATTACCTGCCATGGGATACTGTTAGAAGTATTTGTATAAAACCTGGTGCCAGCTGCTTCAGTGTCCTATATAATAGTACAGAGATGTACTCTGAAGCAGCATAAAAACAAATCAAAAAAAACTCGCAAGAATTTATTTCCAAAGCTGATGACATAAAAGCTCTTATTTTACACATTGAAGAGGGAAGGGGTGGGAGAATTAGTACATTGAGATCTTGAGAAAAATCGTAGAGCTTCTCTGCAGAAGTAAAATATAATAAAAATATTCACTGTTGGAAGGGTGGTACGTTTAGAAGGATTTTCTAAATTTTAGAGGCTCACTGTGACACACAGAGCTGAGATGTGAGCACTGCTTTTCCTGCCCAGGTACTGTGGGCTGCTTTCCCAGAATGAAGGAGGCTGCTTTCATTTCTAGCAGAGTCTTCTCCCAGAAGATTGAATTTCTTAGTTTTACTGCTTCTCACTGCACCAGCATTTCTGAACAGTATATCACTCAAAAAAGGAAACAAAATCAGTTCCTGTTTTGGGTCCTTCTGAAAAAACTTGGTGACAGATTTACCTTAAGCTCGAGATGCCAGCAAAGAATGAAACTTGGAGAAATTCTGGCCACAGGACTGCCAAGTTTTTCTACTTTGCCTTTGCATGGGCAATAAACCTCTAGGCTGCCACTTTGGTTGGTGTTTGGCACCAGGATGGTGCTGCCACTCCTGCTCAGGGGTTTCCACCTTTCCTTCTGGGGCTTTTACCAGGCACTTTGCTACCTCCACTGCTACACTGGAAATAATATCCAACATTTGCTAATTACTGGGAAATGGGTGTTACTTGTTAGGGAGTTAGTGTTAGGGACCAAACCCTGAATATGCTTTGAGAAGTTGCATTGAGGACAGGGGACCCATTAAGGATATGGGAGTCCCTCACTAGGACTATGACCAAGGGTCCAGCTTCAGGATGCCTGAGGGGAATAGAAATATATAATATCAATCATATCATATCATATCATATCATATCATATCATATCATATCATATCATATCATATCATATCATATATCATATCATATATATCACATCATATATATCATATCAAGTGGTACGAAGTGTGAGAAAGATGATGTCATATCAACTTTGTTAAAAGAGGATGCTGCTCTTCCAAAATTGATTTTTTTTGTTTGGTTGTTTAGTCATTTGAAAGAAAACAATTGGACCCTGGAAATTAGTGGTAGAAGATGCCAGTGTTTTTAAGATTTCCCTGTCACTGCAAGTGGGTGTAACAGGATGTTCCCTGCAACTCAGTACAATTTAAGTAACTCAAGCAATAATCTCTCAGTCAATTGTTTGGGGAGGCTGTTCCAGAAACTAGTAAGCATCACTCCTGAATCCAGTTTGAAATTTTTTTGCTCAGAAAGTTTGGGTTTATTTTCCACGTAGGGCAAAGTGAAGGTGTTGTCCTTCTCTCCAGCTAGAGTAATATGCTTCCCAGCAGACCTGCTGCCTCTCATTTTTGAGGACAATGTTAACTCCAGAGGTGGAAATGAGTTTTTGCTGCTTTTCACTCCATTTCACCTGCAGAGCTAGGGGATGGAGATGTATCCCCTTCTGAGTCACACACACATCTACTGAGCCATCAACAGAAGGTCAGATTCCAAGGACAAATTCTTCACTCACTTGAACTTACAAAAAACAATTGAGCACTTTTTCCCTCTGACAACAGTGCAGCATGGGCCCAGCTTGACCAGAGAGGTTGTACAATCTCTGCACTTGGAGGTTTTTCAGGATCCATCTGAACAAAGTCCTGTACAACCCATTCTGACCTCAGAGTGTACCATGCTGCAAGGAGAGGGTTCAACTAGAGACTTCCTGACACCCCATGAAGCTTATATTTTCCTATGAATCTGTTACCTTGGGCCAGCTCTTCTGATCTGTTTAAACTAACCCCTGATCAGTTCAGGGTCCAGAAGCTCAGAGATGGGGGGATGATCTTGGCACACCTGCTGCTGCTGCTGCTGCTAACACCTTCTCTTGCTGGAAGGCAGGACAGTCATACAAGAGCTCCGCTGCTGAGGGTTGTTGTGGGATAGACCTCTTCAGGAGATGAATTCACTCTCCTTTGGTTTCAGGTGCACTGAGCGAGAGCACAAAAGCAGAACAGTAGCTGGGGACATGGTCCTGGAAATTGCCTCAGAGACAATGATGAGGCTGGAGTTTATCTCCATGTTTTCTTCACTACTGGTACCTATATTCCCATCAGAAAGATCACAACTGGTGCCTTAAGAGCATGAAGAGCTTGAGAAGTTATTCCCTGTAGTTTTCACTGTCTTGATTTTAAAACTTTTTCCATTCTGAACATATTTGATCATTTATTGAGGTCCTAAGATGTAATAATTGCTATTATTCTGCTATTACCTTTGTAAAGTTAGGTCTTTAACTCCAATCTATTGTCAGGCACAGGTTTTTATTGCAGAAAGTTGGACATCCTAGTAACATTTGACTTTATTGCCAGCTGGAAGGGAAGAGCGAGAACACCTCCGGAGAGACAGGTTCAGATGCAAAGGGAGCTTTTAAAAGGGAAAGAGAGGAGCACAAGAAGCTGCTGGCTGACAGTCACAGTGTGGTGATGGACCTCCGCTGGCAAATCCAGCACAGTGAGAAGAACTGGAACCGGGAAAAGGTGGAGCTCCTGGACAGGCTCGACAGAGACCGGCGGGAATGGGACCGCCAGAAGAAGGAGCTGCTCAGGCGGATAGAGCAGGTAAGGAGCCGTCAGGTAAGGAGTCATCTTGGGTCAGCAGTGCCTGTCTGAAGGAATGAGGCCATTGTACCATTACTACACTCAGGCCAAGCTCAAGGGACAGCGTTAAGAGGCAGCGCAGGAATGATTTTTCTTCCTTGGCTACATCGATGTTTCTCATGTTATGAAACAATTTATATACACAAGGGAGTAAAAGGGAAATGCTCATAATCCCTATAAAAGACCACTTATGAGAAATCAGCTCTAGGTTAGAGGTCATTTCCCCATTTCAATTACCCTGGACAAGCATGGTCACATTCTGTTTGAAAGCTTTAGTGCATCTCTGTGCTAGAACACTCAACCCACAGAGTTACTCAGGGTTTGGTACACAGCTTCTTGCTGAAAAAGACTGTTCATCTATGGATTAGCCACCAAAGATGCAGCTGCTGCAACTATTCAGTCTCAACTGAATGCTTTTTCTCTGGCAAAGGAACACAGGGGTTAACTTGAAGAGCCCTGACTGATAACAAACACAGTTACCAGTACTAAATATTCAGAAGAATATTGGTCACATGAATTTTGTGCAAACTTCTGTTATTACTTGCAAATCTGGGAATGCATACCTGCCCTTTTGTTTTCATGCCTATCTGTATTTTCATCTGCTTAGTATTAGAGACAAATAATACCTAATGAATTTATTATCAGCCTGGAAGCCACACAAAAAATGAAGTTTTATGTGGGGGAGTTAAAATACCACTTCTGACTGAACATTGTTCAGATCTGAGTCATGCATTCCAGGAAAAGCAAGAGAAATAAGTGAAATTGTGGGTCCTCAACTAACTGAATGCTTTCTGTCCTTAGGACAGCAAAAATAGAACCACACCAGCCCTGTGCATGCCCTTTAGAGAGCATTATGCTTAAGAAAAGCACAGAGAGGCCTCACAGGTTTAAATCAGTGAAAGCCCAGTGTAATTTCATGACCAATTTTTGCAAAGGATTGATTGTCTCTGTCTCGTGTTCCCATGTCAGGGCTGCAACAAGAAGTTAAAGAAAAGACACCAGGCTGGAAATATTATGAGTACAAGACTAAACCTTGGTTTGAGCTGTGGCTGTTAAACCCACAGAGAAGCGCTTAGGAAAATCCCATGCTCATGTGGGTATTTCTGAAATCAATGCTAAAAGTGTAGGTATGAGTGGGCAATGCCAAACATGAAGGTTTTATAGACCAAGAAAGATGATTTTTGAACTTCTAAATTTCGAAATATCAGCAAACAATATTCTCAATCTTTTAATCTATATATCTGAGGGGTTTTGTGTGTACTTCATGCATCTTTTTGAGCTAGTCTTTATAATGCAATACAGTAGCGCTAAGTTAAAACCTAAGTTATTCTCCTAAATTAAAATCATCAGAGCCTGTGAACCTTATAGCAAAGCTCTTCATGCAAACTTCCTGGCTTGCAAGGTTCAGTGGCAGAAGGTGCTTAGTTAGTTCTCCATGAACTGGGCTGGTTTGTAACTGTTGGGTTGTAGTGGCCAAACTACCACCTATGGAATCTTCATGCACAATGGGAATGAAATAGCCCTCAGAAAATTTTCCAATATACTAAGGACATAGACAGAAACTTTTCTTTGAAGAATCACTGGTACCTATTTGGATGGTTTTTTTCCTGTCCTTATAAATTGTGGGGTTTTAAGTATATCCTCAATAGCTTGAGGGACTTAACCTGGTTAAAGACTGCTTTTTCCATTCCCTGGGAATGGGGCACACTGAAGGAAGCCACAGAGAAATCCTTGTTGATGTTACCTAGTTTTTAATTCTCTTAAAACCTGACATAACCTCTCAGTGTCATCCTGGGAGAGCCTACAAAATAGCTCTTAACTAGTACTGGAACTGATTCCTTTTGTTATGTTTCTGAAACCTCTGGGCTTTAACTATATATTTACTGTGCCAACAGAGTTGTACACAGAATTGGCAATGAATAGGGGAAATAAAAAAATATTATATCAAGCTAAATTCAGAGGACTAAATGACCAGAAATAGCATTTGAAGTCTTGGCTACCTGCCTACAAAACTTCATAACTCCATCTTTGCTTATAATCAAACATTTCCCTGTGTGACAGGAAGCTTCCAAATATTTGCAGGCTTTTAGCTGAATATCCTCTCAGATTGCAGTCGTGCCCTGCTTTATATGGAAACAATTAGTGTATCTCTGAAGTCCTACTCCCCAGGGTTTTGGTGTGTGTATTCCATGTATGGCAATACACAGAGGATGAGGAGACTACACACTGTGTATGTTTGAAACAAAGTCTAAGAGATAGCAGAAGCGTGTGTGCCACATTTCATTCTAATGCTTTATGCCAGTCTGCTTTCACACAGCTCCTGAATAATACATGTATGATAAGAGGGAAGTCACACCAATGTATAAAATATATAAAGTACTTTACTCTGGATGGTGATGGGAATTCTGCTCGCATAGAAAAAAAGTGATGACCTACTTTCTTCAGAGCTCACAGTTGTTGTTTTTTCTTTTTAAGTACTCTGTCACTTCATTTTCCCTTAGAGACTCTCCCTCCCCTGTACTCCTAGAACTAATTGTGCACAGAGCACACTGACAAGTATTTCAACCCACAAGATCACCTGTATGAAAAGTTGTATATTTAAAAGTATAAACACACAGGGACTCAAAATTATTGGCTGTTATTAAAAAATTGGGACAATATTTGTCACTTTAATTCTCCTGTCAGCTCTCTGAGGTTCAGAGAGTAAGGCAGTATTGGTACTGTTCTCTCATAAAGGTTTCCAGAACATTGTCCTTATAGGATCCCTAAAACTCTGAAGGGCTTGTAATTGGAGCTATCTATAAAGAAAGCATGCAATTACCATTTCTCCTTCCTTTGAATCTTGCTCATATGCTCAGGAATGGCCCCCAGGATCTCTTGGTATATGCCTTCCAACCCCTGCCTTTATAGAACTCTATAAACTCCTTTTAATAAAACTGCTTCAGGTTTTGTATATCATGAGAAAAACACTGAAGATGCATTTCCCTTTTTGTAGACCTGAATCAAGAAAAAATCTCACTGTTTTCAGCTCAAGTGTAAATTTAATCATTTGAGACCTAAAATGGTTTGGTCTAAATTAAGCAGTATAATGTCTGTTTATTTTTCCAAACTAGAGCAGTAAGATGAATATGTTTTGTAGGTTCTCAGTTTCCAGGGCCCTAGTGAATGACTTGCATTTTCAGTTTATTGTCACTAATCCAAACATGCCGCTCGAGCAAAACATCAGAGTTCTTATCAGATTCCTGCAGTCATTTATCATGTTTGAAATTATCACTTACTTCATCCATCCTGTTGTATTTACAATTAAAAGAGAAGTCGATCACATAATCTAATTTTAATATTGGCAATTTCACTAATGGTTCACTTTTTGAAAAGTGTAGAGTTAGTGGCTTTGATGCCCCTTCTATAAATACCGTTTTCCTGGAACATGTTCTGCATGCTTAATTCATCCCTTTGACAATGTTGTTCTGTACAAATACTCAGCTTTTCAGCCATGCATTCAGGCTAGGCCATATATAAAACAAAGCTTTTGGGTTTTTTAAAGCGTAATTTTCCACCTCTGAAAAGAAGTGGTATACATAAAAGTGCAATCTTTGTGTTGCTGAGCAGAAGAAAAATGTCTTTGTTTTAGAAAAATGTCTTTGTTTTGATGAGAAGGCAATTCTCTCACCCTTCCATCAGCATCTACTTGTACTGATATGAAAATTGCTTTTAAATAACAGTCTGTGTTGATTTGTTTCTTTAAAAACCAGATTACAGACAGATGCATTATTTTGTATATACGTATAAATTCAGTGTGTATATATGTATACATATACATGTAAATAAGCAAAACTGTAGATATACGCATTTAGTTACCCAAAATCCCATGAGTAATGGCCTCAAAGTTCTGGAGAAGTCTCCCTTTGTGGAGGGCCAGCAGAGCAAGGCCAGTGTCCCCCTGGAGGCGCACGCCTGCAGCAGGGCTGTAACCCGCAGGGCATGGGTGCCTTGCTCCCAGGAAGGATGAGTCCTGCCAAATGCCATACACTGCAGAAGTAACTGCTGCTCCTCTCGATGTGCCTTGTCCCCAGCTGCAGAAGGAAGCGAGCCCCCGGAGGGGAGCTGGTTTGGCGTGTGACACGAGCGAGAGCAGCCGGCGGCCGTTTGCGCCGCAGGGGAACCTCCGCGTGCCCCGTTCCATGGGCTCCCGCTCCTACTCCGACTCCGACACCATCCAGTTCGACGAGCGCTCGCTGTCCAAGCTGAAGGAGAGCGACCGGTGCAGCGGCACGGAAAATCTCTTCCTGGAGTCACTGTCCCTCGACTCACCCGACGAGCCTGAGGAGCATCGCTCTCGGCAGCTGGAGAGGGAGAAATTCCTGACTGGACTAACAGAAGTATGAGCTCTTCTGCATTTTATCATGCTGTCATGGTATCTCTCTGTCAGAATCAGTACAGCTTCCCTGCTGTTGGAAGTGAGATATTGTGTCACAGGCACTGCTTACAGTTACCCAGTAGTAAATTTGGTGTGGACAGGTTTTCATTCCTTCTTATAAGCTGATTAGACCAGTGTCAGTCACCTGACAACTGGGAGCCAGCCTGGAGGTCCCAAAGATTAATTCGTCTTGTGGCCATTTATGTTATGCATGAGAACTGTATTTGACACAACATATTGGCTTAGAAGGTCTTAAGTCATTTCCAATTATAAGTAGATACATATTTATGAAGAAACATGGGCTTTGCTTTGTTAGTTAAGCAGTAAGTGCTGTAGAGAGGCACTTCTGATTGTTCTGCCACATTTGCCTTCTGAGCAGATCAGCATGAGTAAGTGAGATGTTAAAAAAATAAAGTTATTTATCAGCAAAGTACCTACCCTGAAGTCAGACCATAAAGCTATAAAGATATAAAACATAGTGCTAAAAGATGACAGCAGGAAATGGCAAATGAAGTCTGTGTCCTCCACCATGGCAAGCTTATTTTCATCAGTTCCAGGTCTTCACAGTTTGTTTATATTGTTTCTGAGTGAAACCAAGCATCCCTGTCCCCAAATGCTGGTACAAAACTGAAAGATTGAGAAATCAAGTTCTTTGAAAGGAATAAGAGAAAAAAGATTTACAGAGGCAAGAAATGTGACTGCCCATATTACATAGCTGTAGGTAGCTGTGTTCCAGTTAAATTTTCTTCCCTCAGTGCCATAAATGTATTGCTGGCAGTGTGGGATCCCATATTTATCATTTCTTAGACTTTTTTTCCCTACATGTCCAAGTGCTCAGTGAAGAACATTGGTAACACTATCAGGGAACGAAGTTTTGTGCCTAATTTTGATTGTTGTTCCCATTCCTTCAAATTCAGTCTGATTTTCAGAGAAAATATCTCTTCCCTTTTCTGTTTTTCAGATATTACCACCATTAACAAAAGGGTGGACAGCAAAATTTGTTCTTGGTGATATTTGCGTAGCTTCTTTCCTTCAAAGGTTGATTTGGGGAAACCTGGGCAAAGTAATTTTCCCTCAGAGGGTTTGCTGAAGCGAGACTGATTGGAGTTTAATGAGTAGCTTAACTGAGGATGCACAGAGGCAACTGCAGCTTGCTGACTCTACCTTCCACTATATTTTCTTTTTGGTACTGACTGCAGTAGAAATCAATCCAGCCTTCACCCTGATTAAGCATTCAGTTAGGTCAGATTTACTCTGCAGTAACTCCACTGAAGCCACCGACGTTATTCCAGAATTATACCACAGTGAATGCAAGGAGGATCAGTTTACTACTATTTTTTTCCCCTGACCCGGGATAAATACCAGAAAGGTATTTGCTGAGCTAAGCAGTGCTGTTTTTAAACAGTCCCAATTTGAAATGGACTTTTGGTAATGTTCTTGATTTCATGAGGTCAAATAAAATGTGTACAGTACCAATGCTCTTTTTTTCTCTCTATCCTATTTTGCATTCCCTGCAGTTTACTAGAAATACAAGTAAACAGAATAACTGTAGAGCAAATGCTTCAGAAGTAGCTATTTAAAACCCTAACTCATTATGGGAATTGTCACAGGGAAATAACTGCCATAAAAACATATTAATGCTGTTAGCAAGCTGTAGGTATTCCATCTAGGAAACAAGCAAGTCTTCCCACACATTTAATATATAAAGCTTAAGGAATTTCAACTGGTGCCACTTGTTGGTTCCTAGAAAATGTGTAATGAAATATTATGTCAAAGAAACTCAGTTTATCTTTTATTTCAGCACAGCTAGGCCTCTAGCATAAAGTAGATTGCCTCTACAGAAAAAAAGCCACTCAAAAATATATAGTCTGAAGCAATATATTGGGGGAAAAAGCACCTTTTTCAGCCTACATCTATTTGTGGTTGCATGGGAATATAAAAGTTAAAAGCTGTTGTAGATTTGGCATACAAATGTCATTGTCCTGATGGCATTGCCCACTCTCCTGCCTATGTACAAAGTGAATATTCCCACTGGCACTTTAAGAATCTATATCAGAGAGAAAATCAGACGCCTTTTAGAGACAAACATACCTGGAGTAACTAATGGGAAGTGAATGACGAAATACCCATGAGCTAATGCCACCAACACCTTACTTTTCCTGCTTGTTTCTGTTTTCATTCAGGAGGAAGAAACACACAAAGGAAATCTTCAAAGGTGAGTAAAACTTGCAGTGGAAAGTCTAGCAAATACTCAGCTGCTGGAGCTATGCCTCTCTGCACCCAAGCCACAGGCCCAGGACACAGCCATGCCACCTCCTAAACATCCTGCAAGCCAGATTAATGGACTCACCCAGGGATTAATTTGTCTCAATATGCTTCAGTTCTACTCTGATTAACTTGGGCTACATTCAGCTGTCATGCACAAAGATCAAACTCAATGAAAGTGTGTGAAGCTGAAGCTTACAGTGAAATCTACGCCTGCCTTAGCAAGCAGTGCAGTACACACTGCAGACATCCATAAGGAAAGGAAAACACTGGGTGCTGAGGACATGATATGCTGTTGCATATGAGAGATATTGTGCTTTGGACTGGTTTTGGTCTTATCCCATGGGTTGAATACCCACCTAACCTTAGAATGCATTAGTTGTAATTCTGGAGAGCATCTTCCAGCTCATTTTCATCCCAAAGGAATGAAGCCTGTGCTCTCTGAGATTGCCCTCCTGATGCAAACCAGAGCATCAGTCTATGAGATCCATTTAGAAACTATACTCACCTGAATCCCTAACAGGGACACACCCAAACTGCAGCAGGAGCTCTTGATTCAGAGTGTGACTCACAGTGTGACTTGGCTGTATCCTTTGGATCACTGATCCATGAAAACCACTGCTTGCTGATTTCTCATCCAGTTTGAATTACCTCATTGAACCAACTCTGATAAGTACACTCATTTGCATTTTTATTCAGTGGCATTCAAAAATTTTGATTTTTTTTCTTAAAATAAAGCAGTAGGATAACTCATCTGAATGCCTGTGTTTGTACAAATTAGTAAAATGCAGGAGAGCCAAGAATTCAGCATTATCACTTAGAGAGATTCCCTTGGTTAAACTTCAGCATGTAGCAGTATTTCTGCTGGATGTCCCACATCACTGCACACCAGCTGTGCAGCCTGGGCAGTCTCAGAAGTGGGGGTAGACTTGGTGCTTTTCCAGCAGGTCAGAAATACTCCACACTTGCTTTGAAAAGTGTGCCTCGTATTGTGACAAATACTCATTTCCTGTGAACAGTATAATTCTGAGATGCATCCTACTGCTCCACATTACAGATATTTGCCTCGCAGTAATCCATGAGAAAGCAGCAAATTAGAACCTCTACTAAACCATTTGGTACTTTTAATGGCACATCACAGATGTTTGTGTTCACAGCTATATCAAAGATAATAAAAGGCAACTTAAATGAAAGAAGGAGCTAAAGGAAGGAAAACTAGGAAAAGGTTTTTCATGCAGACGGTACTTGGGCACAGGCTCCCCAGAGAGGTGGTCATGGTATCAAGCCTGCCAGAGTTCAGGAAGTGTTTGGATAATTCTCTCAGGCACATGGTGTCATTTTTGGGGTATCCTGTGCAGGACCAAAAGTTAGACTTGATGATCCTTGTGGGTCACTTCAACTCAGGACAGTCCATGATTCAATGATTGAAGTGGTTTTATATGTAAGCAGATGGTGAATGTTGGATTTCCAGAGTTTGCTGCTGAAAAGAAGTTACTTTGCAACAATTTCCTGGCGCATGAGTGACTCTTTTGTGTTCCTCTCTCTAGGGCAATGTCCGTTTCTTCCATGTCCGAATTTCAGCGCCTGATGGACATTTCTCCATTTCTACCAGAAAAAAATTTGCCTTCATCTGGCAGCAAAGATGATATAACACCTCCCTTGTCTCCTGATGATCTGAAATACATTGAGGAGTTCAACAAAAACTGGGATTACAATGACACTAGGAGCCATGGTGGGGCAACTGAGAAGCCTGCAGAGGGTTGGGCAGAAAGGACAGAAATTGGAAAAGCTGGGAAGGATCCTGCCTCAGATCCATTCCAGGCATCCTCATGGTACCTCACCACCAGTGTCACTATGACCACCAACACCATGACCAGCCCAGAGCACTGCCAGAAGCAGCCAGCGAGGAGTCACAGTGTTACTGACAAAATGGGAGTGCGGGTATTCCACAGCCCGCCAGTTGTCCGTAGGTTCGATAACTCAGTGATAGCTGGCAGTGAAGGGAAAAACCAGGCTGAGCCAGACTTCCTCTTTTCTGTGACCAAAGCTATGGGGAACGTCACTGAGACAAAAGGTGCTTCCTCGGACATGTTTGGAAGGTGGTCTTGTGACCTGGCCAAACACCATAAAGATTTTCTGGAGAACGGTCTTCATCCCATTGAACGTCCTATTTGCACTACTGTGGGCTTTGCCTCACCCTTGCACAGCTTGGAGATGTCCAAGAACATGAGTGATGACATGAAGGAGGTCGCTTTCTCTGTCCGGAACGCGATACGCTCCAACTCCACGGAGCCGCAGTTCAAGGACACGGCGTGCCAAACCAACGGCATGAGGACCACAGGGACACAGACCACCCAGACCATCAGCGTCGGCCTGCAGACGGAAACCCTGCGCAGTATCACCAGCAGTCCACACAAGTGTCTGACACCAAAGGGGGGGTCCACGCCTGTCTCCTCACCATCCAGGAGCCTGAGGAGCAGGCAGGTGACCCCCGTCATTGAGAAGGTCCAGGCTAAGTTTGAACGCACATGCTGCTCCCCCAAATACGGCTCTCCGAAGCTGCAAAGGAAAGCCCTTCCCAAATCCGAGCAGCCAAATAACCGGACTTTGCCTGGCACACCTCAGAAAGGATTCAGTGAGTCAGCTTGGGCTCGATCGACCACCACGCGGGAGAGTCCTGTGCACACCACTATCAACGATGGCCTGTCCAGTTTGTTCAACATCATCGACCATAGCCCCATCTTTCATGAGACCTTCCAAAAATGCCCCAGATCTGGCAGCCGGTCCAGGTCAGCCGAACCCAGGCCAGAACTGGGCACGTTGCAGGAGCCATGTACAAATGCCCGTGGCAGATCACCCAGTCCTCTCCGTCTGGGGACAGAGACACAAAAGGAAGAAGGATCTGAGGTGACCAGTATTAGGCAGGACTTATCTGCTCCTCCAGGGTACACACTTGCAGAAAATGCTGCCAGGATCTTGAATAAGAAACTTTTGGAGCATGCCTTAAAGGAAGAGAGAAGGCTACGTTCACACAGCCCACCAAATCTTAGCAATGACAACAGCACAGGAGAAATTGTCAAAGTAGATCCAGGGTCCATAGAGGTAATGAATTTGCTTGTTTTTCCTCCTATAGCTAAGTGCACTCTTCTTTGAGCAAATGTATTATGAGATCTCTTTGCAGTCCTACTGAGTATTTACAGTGAATATCATAGTCCTGTCCTGGTACCACCAGCAATTTCCAGTCATGAAACTTTGGATTAGTCACTGAAGAATGCATGAAAGAATTGAGTTTCCATCCTGGCAGCTTATTTGGCTTGAAAGCATCAGAAGAGTTTTATCCTTTATGGGATAAAAAATGGTTCTTCCCTGAACGGGTGGGATAAGGGTTTTCTGTCACAAAATACACCACACGTTACAGATACTCTAGGAACACTAGGTTTGAATAAATTTTTTATGCTGGATGGAAAGGTAGATTCTTTCTCCTACACAAGAATGGGCCTTAACAAGTTTGTGTGAAAAATAGTTTCTACAGTACCCTGGAGCAAAACTTCAGGGCCTACAGCATATCTTTTCTGAATGTATCTGATTAAGTTTGGCTCAGGTCTGTGAATGTGATTGAATGCATGATGTTTGGTACTGACTGCTGCTGCCTCACAAAAATAACAAAAAGCAAAAAATACACATATAATCAACTAATCTAGACACATACCTATTTAGTGTTTAAGAACTCCTTGCTGATATTTTGTCAAGTCATCATCTGTCTCAGCAAGTGTGACCACATGTTGGGGATCAGTCTCAGGTGCAACAGCAATTAACGAAAAAAGAAAGTATAATGATGGATGAAAGCTTTCAGTTACCAGTATTTAAACCTCCTGTTTCTGGTGAACCTCTGAGAGCACTTGAGACTCTTAAGAAGCCCAGAAAAGCTGAATTATGCCCAGCTCGTACATGCATATATTGCCTTTCTTGGTACAGCCATGAAAAGGGGTGTGTGCTGCTGGTTGGTGACAGTCCCCAGGGCAGAAGCTCCTCATCCTCTCTGCCCTGTGCTGCCCCTTTAGCATCCTAGTCTTGTGGTGAGCCTTGGCTCCAGGGAAGCAGCTCCTTGACCCCTGCACACCCTGTACACCCCTGCACACCCCATACATGCATTTTGCCTTCTCTGGGCAGACTCCTACTCCCCCTGCCTCAGATACCTTAAACACAGAAAGTCCAAATCCCACTTTCTAACTCAACATTTGGTGTGAAACAGAAAAAAGCAGAGAAGTTTTTCAATTAAAAATGGAAAAGAAACCACATGCACATTATAAATACTAGTGAGTGAAAGTGGTCTTTGTGCACAAACCCCAGAGTGAATAAAGGTGGGAAGCAGCCTCATTAATTTGACTTTTTCCAGCTAACTCTGTATTTTGTCCTTAGTTTGAAATACTGGGAATACACTACTGATCTAGTACTGCTAGGAAGTGTGTTGTACTCTGACAAGTTCAGTTCAGCTTTGCCTTCAAGGTAACCCTGGAAACTCTTGATTTCCTCCTGTATCTTTTAACTGCCTCAGTAGATTTCAAATGTAGGTAGATAGATGTCATCCCACATGATCACAAATTGCTGTTGGCAAAACACAAACTAGCAATAGTACCTGAGTTTGATGCACAGAGTGATTTGGGTCAATGCCATTTAGCAAAAACTCATTGACCATCAAACTGGCAAAAAACTGCTCCTTTTTGTGAATTCTCAGTATCTTTTGCCTAATTTTTTGAGTTATGATCCCTAGAGCTAAGACTTGTTTTTCCTTGCAACTCCTACGTGACTGTTATGACTGTATTCTAGATGCACAGGTTTTGTTCTTTGGCTGGTCCTGGCAATTCTCAGGAATGTGGATTGAAAAGGAAACTGGTGGGCATTCACACAATGAGCTTAGCTTTTCCTAGCTGAGGTGGTGCTCTGGAAGATGTACTCAAGGGAAGTGTGGGTTTGCTGCTGAAAAGAAACACCCACAAATAAGTTTAGACTCTGCAGGTGCCTTGGGTTATTTGTGGATTACCCTGACCACACAAATTACACTTTGTACAAATTCTCTTAGCACATTTTGTACAAAGCCAGACACAGCTGTTCAGGGAGTTTTGATCTTGAAGGAGCAGGTTTGTGCTTGGGGCAGCACTGACACAATGCTTCCACCCTCCAGTAGATCCCTGCTCTGCTTCCCTCTGACCTGTTGGTTTCTGGCCAAGTCAAGTGCCCTTCTTACTACCAAACGCCTTCTAGATTCTGCAGCCACGGCATATTACTGACTTTTAAACTTGCATGCAGCACCTGTTGGTGACTTTTTCTCAATTTGAGCTTCTGAGTTATTTAGTTACATAATTTTCTTCTATATTCTTCTATATTCCTGCTGCAAATATGAAATCTAGTTCATATATTTATCTATTTATGTACAAATGCATGTGCATGTGAGTGTATATGCGTACAGAGCAGCAATAACTTTGTGTTTTCTGACTTGCCCAGAGCTGCTTACAGGCAAATTCATAATCCACATAGTGTGGCCTACTAGTGTCTTATTCTGTTAATTGAATAAACCTCTAACTTACATGTGTATCATAGGATTTAACCATTTTACTCTTAAAAATGCAGATTAGCATTGCGTAACTAAAAACATAAGCTCTTTAGGAACATTTTTGCTTTTATAACTAGCAAGGGTATAGATTGTGGAGGTTACACAACAGTCCTGGACTGGGAATCAGACTCATTTCTGGAGAGAACACTGTGAAAGGACCATCCACACAGACCCAGAGATGAGAGAGCAGGTGCTGCATCCTCTGCTTGCCAGGGCAAAGCAGGTGCCACAGGCTTGTCACTGAACCACTCAGCATGGGAGGGAGAATGTTGAAAATCAGGGGAGGTGTTGACAGAATTAAAGGGCTTTTGGTTAAGCTTGGATTTCCCATCCAGCATCACTGCTGAAGAGAAACAACGGAGAAAGGTGAGGCAAAGAGCTGCCATGAAACCTGAGAAATAGAAGTGTAAGCCACAAAAAATAACAGCCATTTTCTTGCTTGTTAAAGATTTCCTAAGCAGAAACTCTCTCTTGAAATCAAATTAAGGGGAAAAAAAATACAGCTTTATTCCTCTCATAGTAATATGGTTTTTCCCTAGCCCAAATCAAGGTCGGCAAAGAAAAACAGATATCTTTCTTTGCTGAGTAGAAATGTTTGGTTTGTTTATTGATATGTCCACTTCTGAAACTGTGCTAGGATTGTAAAAGGTTGGTTTGTTTGCTTCCTTTCTTTCTAAGTCTTTTTCTTCTAGTGGCTTGGCTTTTATTTTTGATTATTAGTTTCCCTGTGATAGCACTGGTAACATGATCTGAATGAGTAGTAACATCGGGTGACTTCTTCCTTGCTGACATGAAACCTTCACTTTAAAAAAATAATCAATTAAAATAGTTCTTTCCAACCTACTTGCTTTCTTTTTCTTCTCTGTCTGTTCTGTCCAGAACCAAACTGTCTTATTAACTACCCCCTGGGGACTCTAACCCTGCCTGCCTCACTGCTGTAAGTCCTTTCTACCTTGTTTCCAGAGCTTTCCGAAAGCGGTCATTCTTGAACACGGGGGTCAACAGAGGGAAATAAATGGCCACAGCTCCAGAGGTATCAGCACACACCTGTGGGGTTCAGCACAACTCCAGGGGTATCAGCACACACCTGACATCCCTGTGGGGTTTTTTGTATGGGACAGGGGACAGTCAGGAAGAGTTCAGGATAGGAGCTCATCTGCTGTGTCCTGTCCTGCAGCAGCACAGGCTGGGAAGACGTCACATTTTAGGTAAATTTGTGCTGTTGGGGTTTTTTGCTAAGCTTTTAAAAATTGGCAGCATTTAAGACCAACACAAAGGTATGCAAAAGTGCTGGGGAGGGATTCAGATTTGTGACAAACTTCAAACTTGTTTTTTTTTCTTTTCCTTTTCCTGACAAATGCACAGCACTGCACAGGGCTTCTGGCTGCCCCAGAATGTCTTCCCTCCAGTTCTGGCTACAGCAGTAGGTGGAGAGGACTGGGAAGGGGCTTCAGCACCAGCCTGGGGCTAAAGCCTAAAGTCACTTTTGCTCATTAAGCAGTTCTGGGTCCAGTTCTGCCCAGTGGCTGCGTTTGCCACAGTAGAGGGAAGACAATGTGCAGACATAAGCTGTGACCATCCATTCTGCCTCAGAGAGAAGAGAAAACTGTTTTCTTTATTTATTACTATAGACAGGCATGGTGGCTGACAGCGTGTTTTAGGAAATAGCTAGAAACTGAAGCTGAAATAATCTTTCCCATTTTCAGTGCTCAGGCTAACAAATGCTGCCTACCCACCTACACCCCTGAGCAACTACCAAACTAAATTACCCACAGGTTATTTATTTTTTTGAAACCATCTTTAGCTATGACAGCTATATGTAGTAAGGGAGGAGGGGTTTTCACAAACCATTCTGCAGAGTTTCCTTGTCATGGCTGGATTTCCACACTGCAGGTGGGGATGACTGACTCAGCAGCCATCACTTTATAAGATTATGCTACCAGTCACTTTTGGCCCTGGAGCAACATCCATCACCAGCACAGCCTTGTGTGCTGCTGGGCATGTGTACATCACAGATAAGATGAGCTTAACCTTGATGTTTGGTAAAAGCTGACCAACATCTGTGGGCATGCTGGAGAGAGGCTTTTGAACGGGGAGGCAGCAGTGGAAATAGATTTTGTTATCACTGTGCTAACTCTGATTTACTGCTCCAAAACTAGGATAAAGCAGCCAGGAGCAAGCAGCACTATAAAGATACCATTTTAAGCCTCCTTTTTGAAAGAGGCTAAGACAAAACCCACAAATCTCATAGCCTCAATTCACTGTGTTGTGCTGCCCATAACTGTTTTTGCACAGATGGATTTCTCTTAACAAATCTGAGTCTAGTGGCAGCTTTCACAGACCATATGCTGCCCCAGGCACAATGGGATAAGGTGAAGTAAGGACACACAGTCAATCTTTTCGTTAGCACCCATTTCTATTTCAGCCTTACTGCTGTTTTAGCAAGGGTTGTGAAGTTAATGGCACAGAGATGGGATGGGGGGTGAGGACGCAGAGAAGAGAGGGTGCAGGCTGAGGTGCTCTGTGAGTGCTGAGGGCAGCTGGCCATAGCTCTTTCTCAAGCACTGGTGTGTAGCTGTAGATCACCCCACTGGCTGCATGCTGCCCAAAACACCTGGGTTGACCCTTCACTGAGGCTTCTCCGAGTCCAACAATTCACTCTCTCTAAAACACGTGTCACCAGCTCCATTTCTCATATCTCAGCTCTATGTCTTCAAAACTGGTCTTTCTGTCCTATGACATTCATGTTTGGTCTTCCACTGCAATTGAGAAGTTCAATGTTGTATCACGTTTGTTCACTGTCAATCACATCATGTTACCTACTCCAATATTCTCCACCTTTAGTGACTATTCTCCTTCTCCATGAGAAACAGTGTGCTGAATCCTGGCCTCCCTGCTGCCCTGGTCTCCCTGCGTCATACTGTGCCACAGCTTTTCCTTTGCATTGTATCATTTCGGGTCTCTCTCTTCATTTATCATCAGTTTGCATTCTGACTTTGGTTTTTACTGAACTCCTCTGTACGTTCCAGTGACTGCTGCTTGGTGTACACATTCTAGATGTTGGCAAACTGCTCTGATTTGCTTTTATAAGTTTCAAGGTATGCAGTGAAATTCAGAAGTTTGGCTTTGGCCCTATGAGACAGCTTTGTTTCCACAGTCACTTATCTTGATGTAGGGAACATTCAGAGCAAGGCAGGAAGTGCACCTGTACTTTGAGCAAAGTGAATATTAAAAGCATTACCAGCTTAGTGCCAGGGTGAAAAATCACAGCTGCAGATTGTTTCTAATTGCAAAGGCAAGCTAACCAAGCCAGAACAGTAGAAACTCAGTGAAGGAATAAAATTTCCAATTTCTTCTATTTTTGTGAATGTTGCCTTTAACAAAGAGTAACTCTGAGTCCTGTAACTCAGGCTTCAGCAGCTGGCAGTTAGCAGTGGTATTCTGTAGGTAAGCCTCATATTTAACCCAGCTGGAGATCATAACTACCCCTGTAGTCATTATTCTGTGCTAAGAAGTCTCCTGCATGTCAAGTCTGAATTCTGAAGGCAAAAAAAAGGAGACAGTGGTTGATTTTTCACCTGCCTTGCAAATGCCAAACCTAGGCTTTTTATGCCAGGTCAGCACTTAAAGTGTTGAACAGCGGAGTTTCCTGAATTATTATGCAAATGTACTTTTCAGCTCTTCTCTTTCTAGCACAAGGACAAATAGCAACTGAAAGTGTTTCAGCTACTCCAACTCACCCTCTTCCTTTCATTGTCTCCTTACCTGTTCCATAAATCACGGGCACACCTGGAGCCCTCACGCAGCCGGGTGTTCGCTGCTTGCTTTTGTCCCGCACCACGGCACACGCTTAGCTTTAGTTTGGCGGGTTTGTTTCGCAATTCTTCGCGCACCCCCGCGGTCTCTAACGCGAGTCACTAACCGCTGTTTTGCTCTCTTGGCTGCCAAGGAACTGCCTTGTTCTGCACTAGCCCCGTCCCTCCAACCCTGCTTCTCCCGGCCAGAGAGACCAGCGAAGCGGCGCCCACCGTCACGATGGGCCTCACATTCCCCCACTGCCTCACAGTCGCAGTCCACCGGAGACCTGGCGTCCTCAGAGGAGCGCGGAAGCGAGGAGCTGCTGGCAGAGACCCCCGGCCAGGGAGGCGAGCCGGCCTGACCGCGCTCGGGAGCAGGTGGGACACCCCTGGCCTCCGCCAGGCCGCCCGCCAGCCGCCCCTGCCACGACAGGAGGGAGGTCCGCTTGGAGAGAGAGCTCAAAGAATGTTCTCAGACACAGCTGCTGAATGTGCAACCTGGGGAAAACAGAGGTGTTTCTAGAATGAAACAGTTAATGTGCCTGTAATAACTTAATTTTTTTCATAGCTGAGAAAACTATTTTTGTCTCCATCTTTTCTACATACAGTATATTAACAAAAACAGCAAAAAAAAAAGGGTTAAAATGATATAAAGTAAGATTTAAAATAAAATGTAAATTAAGTTTTAAGGGAATTTGAATACATGCTCGCGCTCTCTCCAAATACTGACTGCCTTTTGGTTATATTTGCACTGTTACGTTTTCAGTTTTGGTTTTGGGTATTTTGGGTTGGTTTTTTTTTAATTTCATGTAAAACTAGGGTCTTAAGTTAATTTTATTCTATTTTAATGTCAGTGTTATCGGTTTTTAAAGGTAAGGTTCTTAAAGATGCTTCAACTGTCTGAAGCGATACCTTTTAAGTAGTGAAGAAAGCCATTAAGCTCGTTCACTAGACTTGTAATTAATTGAGATGGAGGGGAATACAGGTAAACACAAGTAAATGTGTGAAAAAAAGAGAAAAGAATGCCTCAGAAAGTCTTACAGAGTTAGCTGTAAAATACACCTACAATACTTGACTTGCATGCCTCTGGGTCCTCGCACTTTAGTGCATGTACATACTGCTACTGTACCATCACATAAATGTGAGTCAATCTGTTCCACTGTAATATTGTTGTGAATTTACCTGTACTGTACTTTTATCGTTGGTATTCTTGCATTGACTATACAAAAAAAGAGTTTTTAAATTATTGTTAGCAGTTCAACTGGCTATGTACAGCGTTTACTGAGAACTTCCTTCGTTTTGGAAAAACCATGGAAATCTCTGGGCATACTAAATTGTAACTGGTCTTGTTTAAGAGTCTGTTTGAGACCATGTGGAGTGGAATAAAACCCTCAATATTTACAAGCTGCTCGAGTGCTTCATAATGTTTTTTTTATGATGGTACTTCCCAGGTTCATTTAACGGAGTGACATAAAAGCCCCTGAGCTCCTCCTTTATTCATAAGGAGAGAAAAAAGCTTCCTAATATGAAATAAATCACAGCAAAACCAAATACTATGCTGTGCTCCACGGACTCCTGTGAGCACTGGATCAGACCGTGGGAAGGTTTCTAATTTCCCTCCCTGAACTCCATAAGACATCTACTCACAGGGATTGTAGGACCCATCTTCCCAGTTTCTCTGTGGCCCTGTGGCTTGTTGTTTTCTCACTCATGGGAGTGAAAACCAGCCAGCTAAATGGAACACCAGAAATATGACATGTCCAGTATTAATCTAAGTTTATGTACCACCTGCATTACGCATGGAGACCAATAAACAGGGCTTTTGTGAAACTGAAGGCTAACAATGAGAAGTAAATGCAGCCAAGAATTCACACTTCTGAGAGGTGGAAACCTCTCAAGCCACTTTGCCTAAGACCATCTGTTTGGCCACATGCTTTCTCTGGAGCCCCAGAACTGCTCTGACTAGGTATCCCATTGCTGAACTCGCTTGTTCCCTTTCTGTTTTCTTAGCTGAGGTTTTCTGAGGCTCATTTGTTGAAGAGCACCATCTGGGCTCCCTAGAAGCCTTCCTGGTTAGCTCTGTTAAGAAATAAGCCCTTCACATCCTGTCCTGCTGTGTCACAGCCAGCTTTCTAGGAAGTTTAATTCAGCTGTTGGATAAGAACAAATTCCCTGTCCCCCAGATCACAGCCAGTTTAGGTCTGATTTCTCCCATATCAGGTAGGGCTGTGGCTATTGACCCGAGGTCAAAATGTCCACCTGGGGGTTGTCATTACAAAACTGGGCAGTGAATGGACAGTACTGCTGTCTGATGGCTCTCTGGTGCCACAGTCAGAGCAAGGGGTGTCCAGGGCCAGTGCAGAGCAGCAATAGTCATCTTAGTGATAGCTGCCTTCCCAGCTGTCTCAAAGCCTCACTGCTAGGCTTTTTCATTAGTTCAGTACAATCTCCAAGTCTGAATGCCTAAAATTGTCCGTGGTGGCCACCCTGTTTGCTGAAAATCTTCCTCCTGCAACACATTGCTGAATTGTTGAGCTAATTTTGGTTTGGGAGGGGAAGGAGGAGCACATGCAAGAAGTGTTTTGAAGGTGAACCACACGAGTCACAATTATTGGAGAAGACTAAGCCACACCTGAAAAATCCTTCTTTGTTTTCAAAGTAGCTTTGCAGGGATAAGGGAAGGTTGCTGCTTCCTTAAAAGTTATTTCTCCTTCATGAAGCAATTGGAAGTTGCAAATGAATGAGCAATGTTGACATCTGGCAAGTAAAAATTGTGTTCTGTTTCTTGTGACAGCTATAATTTTTTTGTTAATGATGCACCAGAAAATTCAGGGCACTAATCTGTTACTTTGATGCCAGAGGATGGTATTTGCCTTTCAAGTCAAGGATACCCCAGTTTGCAGAATTAGCTGCTGGCCATCCTGAAGATCTGTGAGGATAAGCAGCTGCCTGTGGCTTGACAGGTAAAGTGCTTCTGAAACAGCAGGAATCACTGAAACAAAAGCCAGAGAGCAAGAAATAGCAAGAAGGAGAAGGTTAAGCACAAATAGAGATTCTGTGGGTAATCTTAAAAAGAATGACATTAATTAAACATAATCTCCTTTGTAGTCTAATTAGTGAATACAGTGACATCGAGAAATATCCCATGTTTCTACTGGCTCTGGAAACAACAGGGTTTTTCTCTTCCAATATAGCTGCTGGGGGGTTTGGGACATTCCTGCCCACCTCCACATTATTCCATCATGCTCCATCATTACTTACATAAATCATAAAACAAATGACAAGTCTCTAGTCCATCTGAAGTCCTTTTACAATCTTCTGAGAGAAAATAAAAAGCCTTTTTAGAAAGTCTGCAGCTCAGTGTCTATGGGGTATCTGAATTATTGCCTCATGAATAATCAGGGCAGGAGAAGCCTCACAGATTAGCACACAAGTTAGTGTAAGGGGATGTGAATACATGTGTCACAGCTTTGTTTGGTAAGGCTGAAATAGCTGGATTTCACCCAGGGGTTTGTGGTGCCAGAGACAATGGCCTTGGGGTATCGCCTGCTCCTGCAATACAGAGGGCATCAGGAGCAGGACTGTGACCTGTGGCATCCCTCCCAGCCCAGACAGTTTTAGAGGTGGCTGTGGCACCCCAGGGTGATGGGGTATCCCTCATGTCACAGCAATGATGTGTCCGTGTGGGTACTGTGAGGAGGAGAAGTCCCCCTTTTCTCCCACTTTACTTCCTGCCTCTCCACAGTCACCTGCCCATGCTGTGCTCCACTTTGCACTCCAGGGACACATGGATATATACCAGTGGCAATGGTGTATGGCCCCTTAACTCACTGACCCAAAGCAGGACAACCTGGCAACACCACACCTGTGTGGTGCCTCAGTGCCTGGAAAATGACCAGGCTTGGACCATCCTTCCCATCACACTTTTCCCTTCACATCTTCCTCTGCACAGAGCCAATCTCCATCACCATGACCCCAAGGGATGTATTTTCCCAATTTAGGTCTAATTTCTCCCATATCAGGTAGGGCTGTGGCTATTCATACTCCTTTCCTGAGTATCTGAACCACCAAGCCCCTCCATGGCCTCTTTGGTGGTATCTCATTTCTCACTCACTCCCTGTTCCCCAGTTTTTACTTTGTTATATGTAAATCATTGTAACCTGCTGGAGTATTATTAAGCTGCTGAGTACATATAATTTTCATACAAAATGACAGCTAATGTCTTCAGACTCCACACAGCCCAGCCTGCTTCACAGAGAGGTATAATAGCTTTGAGCAAAGTCTGCTTCCCTTCCCTGTTATCATCCCCTTATCCATCATGTGCGAGTATGAGACATTGTGCCTCAGGTTTGGGTGAGAGAGCTTACTGCCTTGCTATAGATGTCTCTAGAATAAAAGTCTAGAACCTGTCACTGAAAACCACTTTTTATTCCCTATCGGAGCAGATTTAGGACTTCTCTCATTATTCAATCTTCTTTTTTTGGCATACCAACACTTTCTGGAGGCCAGTGTTGTCATCCTCTGAAAAAATGCATGAGAAATCCTGAGAGCACTTGGTGGTTTGTGCAGGATTTCACCGTTGAGGGAGGGATCAATGGGCTGCTCAGCAAAGGCAGTGCAAACTCTCATCCTGAAGCTGGCCTGAAGAAAGGCAATGCTCCATCCTGAGCAAGTGTTTGGAGGCAAAGGTGGGGCTGGGGCTGCACAGGCCCAAAGTACCTCCTCAGAGGTCCCCAGTTTGGCAGCCAAGTCTCTGATTTGACAACCACCACTTGCAGGTTACAGCTGCAGGAGGTCAAGAGGTGGATGGCAGAATGTGCCCTTTCTGGGGACAGGACAGGGGAGCCCAGGGTGGTAGACTGAGATTTGAGGAGAGAAGGTTTTAAAAAAAAGGAAAAAATCAGTGTACTTGGCAGCTGCAAGTAGATGGATATCTCAATGAGGAGAAGAAAGAAGGTGGTTTGGATATTGAGTTTTATATGATTCTCTAGATGGCAACAAGCCTGGCTGAGCAATGTAAGCAGATACTGCACTAAAAGGGAAGAGTGCTGTTAGGCCATGAAATGTGAATCCTGTTAAACCTCAGCAATAGCAAATAGCAATTTTTGGTTTGTCCTTTAAAATCCCTTGGTTGTTTGTTTGGGGTTTGAGTTGTTTTTTTTATATACCATAATTGTATTTTATAATTTCAACAGTAAGGCTTTAGAATACGGTACACACAAAAATGTCATGGACTCAGGTACTCTCCTAATCCTCCTCCTGCTCCTGTCTCCCACTGTGATCCATCTGGATGAACCTGCAGAGGAGAGAGCTGAGTGCAAATGGATAGGCTCATCCCACAGGCTCTGCTCAGCAGGTGCCTCTTTCTCACTGAGCTGGTTGCAACCCACCTGGCTCAGAAATATCAAGCCCTGCCATAATGGAATAGGGCATCATTCTGGGGTTGAAAAAATTACCCCTTTGAAACAGGAGATGAGCAGTCAATGCATTTTAGCTATTAAGAATTGCAATGTTAAGTGCTTAGCAATTTAGAACATAAATCTCATTGATTTTCTGCTCAGGGAAGAGACTTAAGCAACTTAAGACATTTGGAGAACTTTTATCACAAATCTTTGACTACAGCTTCAGCGTGTTTGTCTTCAAAGCACAGCCTCAATTCCTGATGTTGTCTGGGAGAAGACATGTATTGTGTTGTTCCTCATTGCATTTTCTGCACTCTGCATTGTCAGAACTGAAAAAAAATCCACTTTGCATATATGAATGAGAGGAAGAACAATAAAGGCCATGATTTTGTCACAGCTATTTCCATGACAAAACCAAAGACTTTTGAGAGGGAGTTTTCTTACTACAATGTCACTGTGGTTTGTCATGGAAATCACATTTCAAACAAAAACCAAAGCCCTGGCTTCACAAATTATCTGTGTTCCTCTTAGTCTGTGATGCTTCTGACAACACCTCTGCTTCATAATGTACACATAAAAATGTAAGTTAAATATGTTGCACAGGCATACTAGACGTATTACAAGTAGGTTCTGAAGTGTACTCAAACAAAATAATTTTTTTTTAGTAATAGGACCATTAAATAGTTGGAAGGAAACAACAATAAGAAGTTGGGAAAGACAGAGCCCCTGGAAACCAACACCCTGGACTGTGTTTGGTAAACAATGAGTCTCATTCTGATTTCCTGGAGAGCAGCCCCAGACCTGTGCCTTGGCTGTAGCAATCCTTGAGTGGTGTCACTTTCATGGGGGGACACAGAAAGGGACAAACCTTGCCTGTCTATGACACTGACAGCATCTCTCAGCAGCAGTCCACATTTGGGTGACAGGGAAACTGCAGCTGATGAGCTGCACTGTGCTGTGCTTTTCTCAAAAAGCCCCAGGGTCTTCAGCAGGACAGACTGACTTG